CAGGCGAGTGTGAATTGGTGTTTGCCTTCCCTTGCATTCAGCAATGTTCTGCCCTGCCCTTCTGCTCAGATACTGGACTAAGCTGGAGGAGAGGGCAGTGTAGTTAAAGCAGATAACCAGGAGACAAGGCTTTCGGATCCTGGTCTTGACCTGTCTGCGAGTGATGATGTGACATAACGCAAGTGATGCCACCCCCTTTTACCTCCATGCATTTCTCTGCATCAGTAGGATAAGGATACTCACTGCAGGGATGACACACTGATTAACAGCTTTGTAACGGGATGACTCCATCCAAAAGGAAGAGTGTAGGAAAACAATCCTAGTGAATATATTTTCCTAGATATTTTCCTGGAATACCCAATGTATGATTATATTCTGGAATTCTTTACGTTATTGCTGCCAAGAGGCAGAGGGGGTCAAAGGGTTATATGTGCAACAAATTCCCAAATCTGTTAATGAAAAAAAGAAAAAAAAGGAGTGTGGGTTGGATATGAATCTTTCTATTTCTGGTATTGGGCTAGCCTTTTACTTCTGAGAGCAAGGATGAAATCTTTATAGGGACCAGATGAACCCCCATTCGCTTCCTATGGGCCTTTCTCACTCTTCTCTTGATCTCGGGCCGCAGTCAAACATGATTGCTCTGTGAATGGCAGTTGCATGCTTTCAAATTGCACTGCTGCAGTTAAACAAAATGTCACTGAATTGTGCTCCAGCAGTCTCCTTGCAAGGGTTTATCAAAGCACCTGGGAAGGCCGTTTCTGTTTCTCAGCTGCTTCTCTGGTTTGTGCCTTGTGCTATGTTGGCACCAGTGTAAGTGTCATGGTGCAACACCTCCCCACAAGACAGCCAATCTTGCTGTAAGGTTTGCTTTGAGGCAGTTTGTCCAGTTGCAAGAAACTAATATAGCGCTGATCTAGGAATGTAAATTCAGATGGGCAGCTGCTCTCCTACCTACCATGCCCTGCCCTTTCTGAGTATCGCCCTTTAGCCCCTGTAACCTGACCACAAATGCAGCAGTGTCTCATATATCCAGTGTCTTTTATGGTGAGGAGATTGTTTGTTCAAGGAACAAAGGTAGGAGCCATCTGCTGAGTGTTTGCCTGTGGTCTGACGTCACAGGCAGGATTCTGAAAACACCCCCAAAGTAACAGCTCATCAGTCAGATCTGGACTTGTTTAACTGTGGTGCTATAGGCACTATTCTTAGGGACAGCATTTCAGTGGAGTCACACTTCCAGGAGGTGTGAATCTAGCCCCTGAAAAGAGCAGATTAGAAAAATCCATCACCCACAGACAATGCTGTTCTCATATCAAACTTTGCATTTGTAGATCTTGAAACCGAAGGTGGGTAACCACTGTCTTTCCTACTGCTTAAGGAAACAGGCACACACAGAGGGACTGTCCAAGGTCGCACAGGAAGTCGAGGGCAGAACTGGGAATAAATGTAAAGCTCCTGATTCCCATCTTTGTCTTGACTCATAAGGCTGCTTTTCTTGGATGTTTAGTTTTTATAATTCTGTAGGAAAATAAGAAGCTGCTGTAAGCCTGTATAATACTTAATTGCTTCTTCCAAAATTTTTCCTCTCCCTCACTTTTCTTACATGGGCAGATGCCCATGTAAGTGATGGAGATCCATCACTGAAAACAGAGCATGGGGGAGGTAAGAAGGATGTTGCACTAGAGGCATTGCTTATAAAATGATGGTGGCCTGTGGACTGCTTAACACACTGCAGTGCTGCAGGTTTCTGTAGTACCCCTCCCATCCCAGAATAAGGTTCTCATACAACTGTTAATAAAGGACATGATGGTACTAGGCATCACAAAATGGGATAAGATAAGAGCAGAAGCCGGCTGAGGTTTCCCTCTAGTCAACTGAGAGCCTAGGCTGTCAGAGCACACAACTCTGGCATGTTGCATGAAAATAGAAATGATCTCTTACATAGAGCTTCAGATGTATCCTTGAAATGAGAATTCAGAGCCTTGAAGTGGAAAGGCTGAAGTTTTCCTTAGCTTGTTTTTAATCATTTAATATTTACATTCTCATAGCTAAGGGCTATGGACAAGTTTACTTGTTGAATTACAAATTTGCATGGTGATGATGGGTAATTTTTTTTCTTTGGGTGCTTGGTTTTAATTATAGCTTCTGAGACAGTCAGGCAATCGCTTGTGATGCTACCTATCCTCATTCTGTTCTCTGTAGTGTCCCAGTATCCCGAAAGACAGAGTGTGACAAACAATATCATGATCTTGAACTACTATGCAGAAAATGCTGGACGGCCTGTTGTTAAGTTAGCATTTGGAAGCTGTTATGTTTGGGGTTTTTAACATGACAATAGGAAACAAAATGAATGTGTCTGGTTCATTCAGCGGTTTTCCTGATGTAATTAATGGTCAGAAATAGAAGGCAGGAATTGAAATAAAACACTCCCATTCTTTTCCTTTCCACCTCTGAGATTTTGCAGACAAAGTCCTTCAAACTTTATGTGAGTGTTTACAGAATAGTTTTTCTCACATTGTATATGACTGTCTTCAAAATCTGGTGACACATGAAGGTCAGGTCCCCTGTACATACTTCTTCCTGTAGCTACTGTCTTCTCCTTTTAAAGTGGCAGTGACATTTTGCTTCAGAATAGCAGGGAATGAGCCTCTTTAGATCTGGGTTTTATTAAAAAATCTGCCAGACTGTGTGTCCACTGGACACTGACTTGTCAGGCAAGTTTTTTAATTCCCTACATTTTAGGTTTACTGAGCATGCAGCTATTTCATTGCTTGTGTTTTAGTAGTGTCTGTGGAGCCTGTATGCAGCGCATATTAGGAACTTTGAAATAAACCAAATTTAAAGGTGTGTGGTGGCATTTGTTAACATTTAGATCACAGGCAGAGTTAACCACATCCAGAGATGGCTACATGATGTCAAAAGACAGGCAAGATGATTGTTTAAATGATGATCACTGATAAACATCTCTTCTTGCTAGAGTGCGGTCAGCTGGTCAATTTGGTTAGCACTTCCACGGAGTTTCCATCTCTGCTCTCTCAGAGGCTTACTGACTGGCTTGTACAAACGGATAACACATCAAATTAATGCTGAAGACTGTTTTGTACTTTGTGTCTGGATACAGCCAGGAATCCAGTAACTGCCTGAAATGGAATAGCTTCCTCCATGCACACCTTATGGTGGCGATGTTGAGTAATTGGTTGACTTGCTTAAATAATTTATTTAATGACAGAAACAGGCTGATTGTGAGTCAGCTTATGAGTAGAGATCCTGGACCAATGCATGGATTGGAAGTGGTCTGTAGTTCATGTTCAGCAGCTCATGTGTTCAGAGGAGTTCAGATCCATCCCAGCTTACCAGTGTCTAAAGTTTATTACAATGCTATAGTCACCACTTGCTCTTATGTAGAACCAGCAAATCTATTACTGAACAAAGGTGCACTGCACAGTACCTGCCTCCCTGGGCTGTCACGCCTTAGATTCCCATGAGAGGGCTAAATGCACCTTTTCTGGAGAGCTTCTCTGGGGTAAATTTAGATGTGCTGGCAACAGCTTGCATACACGCTTCCATGACTAAACATGGATGAGTGCTTGATAAACTTCATATAAAAAGAAAATCTAGTACACCCGAATACTGAAGGGAGGAAAGTAGCTGCCATTCCACTGGAGCACTGGGAAAGGTCTGTATCACAATGTGTCCTCAAGCCAAGGAAGAAACCTGTGGGTCACATTTGCCTGTCCAGCTGTGCATAACTCCTTCTATCCTTGGAGTAAGGACTCTGTGCTCATGCTATGCCTCCATCTTTGCTCAGTGTATCCCTTTGTACTTTGTTATGCCCTCAAGACTTCACATTTTAACAGTCTTCCAGACCCAGGCCTATTGATATTCCAACGGAGTGTCAGATTTGATAACAGTAAATCTCTGAGATGTCGCTAGACATTCAGTCCAGGGTCCCACATTGTTACCACTGCCCTCAACACAGTGAGTTCTTTGGTATGGTCCACTCTGGAGAGACAATATGGAAACAGTAACTGCTGCTGCTTTGGCTACCATGCTGCTGAGGCAAACAGAGAGATGTGGGCTGCTCCAGCCGCTGCGTGTAGCCTAGGGCAGCTTCAAAGAGCACTACAAAGCAGAGACAGATCTGAGCTAAAACTAGCTGGTGGGCTCAGTAGGGTGGATTGAGCCTGTCCCTCAGGTGGGTAGAACTGGATCAGAATGCCATGAGTTTTGGGGTAGAAAATGCTCAGACCTGTAATATCTATCTTTGGTCTTTCTTCTCTGGTTTGAAGAAGACAGAACTGAGGGAGTGGCTAATGCTTGTGGCTGGAGGGGCTGTCTGCAATTCAAAAAGGAAAGTAGGAATAGGGAACAAAGTCACAGCTTGCTTACAGAAGTAAGTGTTGAATTCTTGTATTAGTGGGTCTTTGCACAACACCGCATTCAAGTGATCTTTATGGAAGAGAAAACAGCAGCCTCTTCAAGTCGCTGAGTGAGAAGCTGCTGAATCAGCTAAAAGCTTTAAGATCAGATTCAGCTTCTAGGCAGACCTATAGCTCCTATGTGGTTGCCTGGCTGAATGGCGCTTAGAAGTCTCAGGAGAAGTTACGAACAACTGACATAGCATGCATTTTCTAACCCTGCTTTGTTGATGCTAACAACAAAAAGCTAACATCTGAGTTAGCTATGACTATAACTGACTGGCTACAGTTTTTAGTTCTCTTTGTGTAGCTCCTAAGTGGAAAGAGTAATAAAGGGAAACTATGTCTCTGTGTGTGAGTGACTGTACCTGTGCCTATCTGGAATTGCACTGGCAGAAACTGAGCATCATGTTTTCACGAATTCCATGAGGAATTCTGTCTGTTTACCCAAACTCAGCATGACTGTATTGGGGAAAGGAAATGTTTTTTGAGCTGCTGCTGGAAACAATGCTATTGCTAAATATAAGCAAGTAAAAACACAGTTGAAATGGGTTGTGCTGTAATTTTTGTTTCCTGTTTTACCAATGCAATTCAATTAAAACATCGAAATACAACTTCTTCACTTTCCTGCCTCTCAACCTGTTTGAACAGTTTCAGCGAATAGCCAATGCTTACTTTCTTTTCTTGCTGATTTTGCAGGTATGAATTCACTGTGCTGTTTCTAACAGATTGTGTTGTCTGTTATCAGAGCCTGGCTATGTATTGATAATTGTAATGAAGTGCAAGCTATGTGCCGGGATTAGCATCTTAGCAAAACCTTAAAGTAGGTAGAACGTAGGGCAGGAAAAAGCAGTTTCCTCCCTTACCTTTGAATATGATGGTTTGAACTAAGCGAAGAAAAAAATTTAATTAAAATTTTCAACAAGTTGTGTACATTTTTCATGCCCTGTCCTACTACCTTTTTGTGTCTACATCTAAGTGCTCCTGGCTGTCCTTGGCTTTGTGTATTCCTTCGGTAGTATAAAAGGAAGTCATCTCTTATTCAAACGTTTAAAGGCAAATTCTTTATATTCCACTGCCTGCCTCATAGGAAATAGCATGAAGAAGAACAAATTTTCCTTGGAAAGGAAGGAGTTAACATCAGGAAGGCTGACAGTTGCAGCTAGTTTGCACAGAGAATTGAATATTGCTGCTCTCTGCTCGGTAGAGTGAGGAAGGTCTCTAATATGGAGCATGTCAAACAGTGGCAATGCTATTGAACCCTGTGGCTCGTAATAGCACTGAATTGCGCTTTGCCCAGTGCTGATAATAATACTACTCCTTCTGAAAGATGAGCATATCAGAGAAATTGATAGCAGGATTTTTTGCCCTTTTGCACTTTGCTACAATACGGATTAAAGCTGTGCACTTTGTCATTTTTGAGTCTTATTGGAATACATGTTATCAAAAAACCTGGTCTAATTTTTATTATATGGTAAGTATGATATTTTAAATTTTATCATTTCACTGCAAACAAGTTTGCAAAACTGCCTTTTCCAAACCATCTTTTTCCCTCTTAGCTTGAAAATGTGTAGGCAAAATTTTGTTAAGGCTAAAGCAAACTATGCACAATCTTTTTTGCTTATTTGCAGAAACAAAATTTAGGAAATTTCAGCCCACGTGTATATTTTTCAGGGAACTAATTTATACTAAAAAATGCATTTTTAGCTAAGCTGACAGCACTGTTCCTGCGTTGTGCTGCACTCTAGCTGTTTGTCAGATTTAGAGTATTTCAAGCTATTTGCCTTAAATTCCTCAGTACCTTTTGCTGAGCCATTTAGAAGCGGTTGTATATAAAACTGTATCGCTTTTCTACTTTGTTTATCGAGGTAGGCTAGAACGGGTAGCTATTAGTCTTTTTATCATATTCACCCATTTAAGTTTTTCCCTTGTCTGCCCACTCGCTCCATCCCTGTAGCACTGAAAGTATCTCTGCCTACATCAGGCATGGATTTGATGGGCCAGCTGTGGGGACTCTGCCTCCCCACTCCACTGGCACAGCCCAGTAGGTCATGTATTTTCCCGGTTAGGGGAAAAGATAGCAGTTACATTACGTGGCTATGCAGTCTCCACAGTGGCATGGCTCTACAAATCATTCCTCCTGACTGAATTTGGTGGTGCTTGTAAGATCTTGGTCGTGACGGTGCAGCAGCAGGAGTGATCTCAAAGAGCAGCTCTCCATCCTTAAAAATGCTTTAGTGGCAAATACGTCACTTCAATCATTCTCATGGAGCTGATGCTATCCGAAACCATTCTGATGGATATGATGATGCTAGAGTCACATTGCTTCCATCATTAGCGCTGGTCTTCTAGAGGAAGGGGGGAACTACACTGGGGTAAGGCATCTTTATATCAGTGACAGCAAAAAGGCCTTTGACCAGCGGTTGCTTTCAATTCTCGGGTCCTCACGCTAGCAAAAATGGAAACAAAAATGGTTCTGCTGGTCTAGTAAGGGCAAAGTCAGCCCTGGCAACAGCTCTCTGTTGTTTGTTGACATGAAGTTTACCTCAGCAAAATACCAAGAGTTACCGAAACAAAAATAGAAGCGTTTGAAGGTTCTGCACAGCAGGCTTTGCTCATATAGCTCTGTGTTCCTCTCTCCAGGCTTGCCCATGTCAGGGCCTCCAGCGAAAATCCACTGGGGACTTTGTAATTCTAGTGGTACAAACAACAAGGGAGAGCAATCCATTGCGTTTCCTGAGAGCTCCATTTTTATATCCTAAATTAGAGCTTGGCTTGTAAACAAAGGCATGGTTTCCCTGGTTCTTCCACTTTGTGGGGTGACATGCAAGTGCAGCGTTTCTATCTTTACTCTGTATTCAGATATCATAGAAAAAATATGGTCTATTGCTTCCACAGAATGCAGTGTTTTATTTCCTTCTTTTTACTGAACTGACAAGAAACTTCTCAACCCAGATCTCTTTTTTTCTGCAGCTGATTCCTCAGATTTCCTCATTGTCCTGGTTTACAACGGTGGTGCCCCTACTGCTGGTGCTGGCTATATCAGGCGCCAAGGATGCCATTGATGATTTCGTAAGATTGCTGTCCTGCACTTTGGAGTTAGCCCATGATTCTTCAGGACTATGACTAAAGCAAACTACTGAAAATTAACACAGCCAGTGGCACACAGTTGGAGAATTGGTCTGTGGCCAAGATGGGGTCTGAGATTAGATTCCCAATTTTATATTTCATTACCTAAAAAGGAGCCAGAATTTCCAAATTGCTGAAATTCCAAAATGCAGCCCAGGAGCTCCATTGACTTTCTCTGGAACTGGTTAGCACGTCTGAAAATGTGATAGACACACCTGAATACGTGCACAAGAGTCTATTCTTGGGCTTCCACTTTGGAAAACTCATCCTCTTCCATCTAGGTCCTATGTCTGTGTCTGGAGGGGAGGAGCCTCCTGCTAGGAAAGCGCGTTTGGTAGGAAGTAACTATACAACCTGTGTGTAATTTTTCAAACTTTCCCAGCCTTGGCTAAAATTTGCTCCCATCAAAGCTGAGGGTAAAAGTTCCATTGACTTCACTGAGAGATGTGAGGCTGAGTTTAGCACCTGATTTTATCTCTTTTTTAAAATAAGTTTGATGCCCGAGCTTGGTCTATGGGGACTCAGTATAACTTTGTATATAGGCAGACAGCGACATAATTGTGGAGTGTGAGCAGTCAGAGATGGTGAGGTGCTCTCCCAGGAAAAAATACCAGAACATTTGGGGCCACTTTCCATATCAGAGCAGAGGAACGAATTTCTCTGGGTACTTAGTTCACAAAACTGTGATGGGCAGGACCAGCCCCAATGGAGTCGGGATTATGTTAAGTGACATATAAGGCCCTACCCTCCTCCTTCCTCCCTCCAAGAGCAAGCCCCATGTCACCTATTCCTCTTTGCAGTCTGGTTATGCCATCTCCTACTAGCTAAACATGGTCTCAACTGTGACTCAGCTATGACTCTAATCTATGCTTGCATGCATGGCTATAGTGTCATTGCCCATTTATGCCAGCTGGGTGAAAACCTAAAATGTTCATGCACTGCCTACACATCTTGTACGCTTGGTTTCCTGGAAATGTCTTTTAACATGTTGGTCAACTTTTCAGAATCGACACAGAAGTGACAAACACGTCAACAACCGCCCAGTTCAGGTGCTGATCAATGGCATGTAAGTCTTGTTTCTTCTGCTGTAATTTCAACTGAATATTTATCACATTTTGTTGCTATTTTGTGTGTCTGATTCCCAAAGAGCACTAAACAATTTAAAATGGGATCTTCTTTCACGCTGTTTGTTCACAGTGCTCAGTGCAATTCCGTGCTACTGTATCTGATTAGTGATTCCAAAACACAGTACCACAATCAGTGTAAGACATTATGGCTGTGCCCCTGCATAGATAAAAAGTAAACTATTTATTTTCCATGATATGTATCTTTTTAAATAGGTGATGCCTTGAGAGTATCATATTATTTTTCTCGTTACCCTAGAGACACCAAGCAGGGCCATTTGTGTTTATTGTATTTATTTCTGAGCCAAGCAGAACTAGACATAATCAACAAGCAATTTTAGATTAAAACACGTGAGTAACTTCTCCATACATGTTGTAATACTTTGAGTGTGTCTACTTATATATGAAATGCTTCTGTCCTAGAGGTATTCAAAACATTTCAGCTGTACATCTTAGGCATTGTACTGCTCGCCCTTTTTTTTCCTTCAGAAAAAAACAACAGACCCTTCGGCTTTGTGGCAGACAGATGAGCTATGTACTTGCAGCTCCATGGAGTCCAGTTGTCCATACGACACAGCTGTTGACAGCTGTGAAGTCCCTGGTGGCTCTGATAGTTTTTCTGTACTATAGATAGCAGTATATTGTGTAAACCCCAACAGATGCTCAGACAGTTAAAAATAGAACTGGAAGCTGAAGAATAGGCACATGCTTTTAATATTTTCAGCTAAGTAAACTAATTTCTTAGTTTACTGTGTATTAGTTACTGTGTCTACTAAACAATTGCATTGAAATGCAAATTTGCTAAGATTCTGCCTGTTTCAAAACACCTAGAAACCAGAGGTCCTGCCCAGCTCTGGCTGACATCGAATAAGAAAGGGCTGAGATGAGCTCAAGCCTGAATCCCAGTCCTATTTTGAAATAATTCTTGACATTTTCATCTTTAAGTTTTTTTCAGATACAGACAACACGACTTGGTTAGGTTGGCATTTGCCATTTAGCTGGACGTCTTGATTAGCGCTGTAAAGGCCATTGCAGGCACTGCCTTAACCAGCTGTAGCACCTGGATTCCTGCCCTTTTAACAGCCAGTCCCACACAGGGTCAGAATTGCTGTTCTGGCCCTCAATCCTGCTTAGAACTAACATAACTAACATAACTGGCAATTTTCCCAGGCATTTGGGATATCTGTTACAATGAAGAAGAGAGTTCTTTATAAGCCAGTGTGACTCTTTAGGGGAAGGAAGGGAGTAATCAGTCCAGACAGGACATTGCACGTGGACTGTGTTGCTATTGTGGGACCTGGTTTCAACCTTGCATGTGTCGCCACGTGAACACTGTTGCTACCTTTTTGTATCATGATAGTCTCTCAGAGTTTAGCATGGACCAGGCCACAGACTGGCTGGCCCTGCTCCATTTAATCTACAGTCCAGTTCCTGATAACGCTTACAACCTGGCTTTAGGAGCAGAGCTGAGTCTCCTAGGTTCCTAAGAGTATTTGCGTTATGTGCTTACTTAAAAGGAGTTTTCTTGCAGGTTGAAGGATGAAAAATGGATGAACGTCCAAGTAGGGGATATAATAAAACTAGAAAACAACAACTTTGTGACGGTGAGTACAGTTTCTCTCCATGATGAGCACATTTGGTCTTTGTAATTACTCTTCTCACTCACAAGCAAATTAGACAGTAGTGACGCTAACTGCCTCAGAGAGCTGCAGTGTTCGGAAACCACAAGTGGCATAGTGGTGCCATTGGTCTCTGGCTGTGTGAGCTCATGCCACGTCTGTTTGTTTGTGTTCAGGCTGATCTACTGTTATTGTCAAGCAGTGAGCCGCATAGCCTGACATATATCGAGACTGCTGAACTGGATGGGTAAGTAAGTGAGCCTGGTCCTCAGGCACAATCACTGCTGCCAGTGCAAGGCCACATTTTGTGTGGTGACCCTTGATGCCACGAAGGCTATCTATCTCTGCGTTTCCAGCACTGCCAAGTTCAGAGCTGAATCACAAGAGCTGTTATCATATATCCTGCTAGATCAATGACCAGGATTGTACATGGCCAGCAAAGGTCAATCCTGTTTGCCTGCTGTTTCCTCCCTCGTCCTATCTGCACTTCTTCCATACTGAGAACCATCTAAATGCATTCTTTGCCTATTGAACATTTGCTTGCCCCCTACTCTCATCTTATTGTTCTCCATAGAGTTGAAAGTCATTTCAGCTTTCCTGCTAAGGGGGTTTATCACTAGATGGAAGCATAATTGTTTAGCTCCAACACACTGCATGGGAAGATTGCAATCAGATCCATCATTTACTAAGTCAAGCAGTTGTCTGATGTGGGTCCAAGGTTAAGTCAAAATGCACCTTGTTACCTGCAATGGCTTCTGTAGCAATAGTTTCCTAATACTTAGAATAATCTTCAGGTAAGTGTCTTGAAAAATGATGTCTCTGGTGGATACTCTTCACTCTCGCATGTCAAATGTCATATGGGGAGGGGCTTGGTACCCTCTGATTTTTAGTAACAGTTCTTCTGACACTCAGAGTTAGTTTAAATTTGTTCCTGCAATATCTAAAGTCACTGGCAGAAGCTTTCTGGCTTTTATATCTGCCTTAGTCTTCTTTCTTAGCCAAATTATTTAGGTGAAATAATCGCAATGAATAGCTCCAGTAATCTTCTTTGGACTGCTACATCCATGCACACCACAAAGGCATCCAAACTTTGCTCACTCTGGTGCACAACTGGCAACTGGCCACAAGACAGAGGGCTACAACTAATTTGTGTTAATTGGAATAAACTGGAGCTGACCTCATTTTTATGACCGAATTTGCTTACCTTTTCTGGTTGTCTGAAGCCATCCTCAGCTGTGGACTTTGGCCTTGCTTGAAGGACCAAGCAAGACTAGAGAGACCCAGTCTCTCTAGACAGCCGCTACACACAGCCCTCTGGACTTTCTCCTTCCATTTTTTGCTGAAAATGAGCCTGTAGTTCTGGTTCATGCAAGTGCTAGGGAAAACTAGGAGGCTCTGACCAAGTGAAGTGCTTCTTTGACATTGCAGGACCCCATTTTCAACTCACTTCCCCAGCTAGCTGGCTAGTCCCAGGACTTCAGTACTCTTGAGGGCCAGAGTATCATAGCAGAAGATCCAGAGCTCTCCTTTATGTTCTGATACCTCAGGGCTGAGTGTGGTATGAGCGGCAGGATGGACGGTGAGCTGCTCAGGGAGCTGTGATGCCTGGTGTCACGCTTTGCAGTGACGGTGAGAAGACAGAGCCAGCTCACCCTCTTTGCTAACATGTCCAGCATTCCTCTAGACCACCTCTCTTTGGAATAGGAAGAGATAATGATATTGTTATGGCCAGGTAAAAAAGGCCCATAACAGCGTGATCCATCAGATGTCTAAGGAGGACGAGACCATCCTCAGGAACAGAAGTGATCTTTCAGGGAGAGCTAGGCTCATTCTTTTATGTCTCATGTAATTTATTACAGTGAAACAAACCTCAAGGTGAAGCAGGCACTGACAGTCACTGCAGAACTTGGAGAAGATCTTCAGAAACTGACAGAATTTGATGGTGAGTCTATGTGGAAAATTAAATTTCCAAAGCATTTTTCCAAACACCAAAGTCCAGAGAGAGACTGGGAGCCTGCCTTCCAGGCTGTCCTGTTTCCTGCATAGGACTCCTCTGGATACAGTAGCAGCAAAACAGAACTGGTACATTGCAGTCTGTACAATGGATAGCAACAGCATATATAGAGGAAAAGATTCCCCTTTGCTTGTAGGTCTCTCCAGTGCCAGGTGTGGCTGTTGGGTTAAAGGGCATTGAGTGCAAGTCTCCTTGTGGCTGCACCCTTTTCTTTAGCATCTGTCTGTACATGTTGACAGTTCTTTTAATTGCACGGTAGGAACTGGTTTCTCAGCAGTATTTGTACCAGACCACTTTTACACTGATGTAGCCTGCACTTCCTAGCCCCAGTGCTGATCTGAGGACTAACTCTGGTCTGTGCACACATGACACAGGACTGACTTCCCAGCGTGAAGCTTTGCGCTGCCAGTATTTCTCTGCTCTCTCAACACCACAACAAAGACGATATTTTAAAATATTTATAGACATACAGTGCAGATGTGGTTAACAGACAAGGTGTCCTTTCTTAGCACTGTTTTCTATATCATAAACATATAGCAGCACATATACAGAAAGCAGCCAGACGTGTTGAAAACAGAATAATCCATGCTCGCACAGTTGTTTCTCTGGAGAGAGGATAGGATAACAGACCAGTCAATGTTAGCTATGTTTTGCAGTGCTCTGCTGGCTTAGATATGAGGGCAGGACTGCAGTGTGAGTCTGTATGGGAAGGGGTGGAGTTGAGTGTTGCTGTCCCTGGAACTTCTTGAGGACAGCAGATTCTCAGGAGATATTTTTCAAAGAAATATCTTTGAAATAACTAGACAATTCCTGTACAAATGGTGGGGATGCAGCAGAGATTTGGCATAGCTTGGACAGTCTCTGGTAGTACTGTCCAAATGCATGGGCTTTTCTTTTGATTTCTACATTGAGGTTTTTATGAAGTAATGTGTTTCCTCTCAGCTGAGTGACAACTCAGTACATCAGGGTTTCTTTGAAGTGAGGGCTGGGGTTCTGAGTGCTTTAGGTCTTGATAAGTATGTTCTTACAGGTGCCATAAGAAACTTTATGTTAATAATCCCAGTTGCTTGTCTAAATTATTTTCCTGAAGAGGCTGCAGCGTGTATCAGTTTTGGAAGCAAAACCTTCTGTCTAAATCATTTTTCAAAAATCTTCTGTGTAATGCTATCTGAGGATACTGCAATTTTGAAACTGCATGATTATAAAATGTTTCAAAATCTTCTGGAAAATTAAAACTTTTCTTATCTAATATTTATTTACTCTTTGGTTCTCTATTTTAGTTATTTTGTAAATAAAAGTGGCTTCTTTGCAGTACTTAAAATGAATAAAATATTTCCCAGGATGATTTATATTTGGAAGAATACTGGGAAGAGTGCCTAGAATCAGACCTAACTCTGTATTTCCCTAGCTAACCTCTGTAGAAGTATTTAAATATTTATGTAACTCTTTATCTAATTACTTCTTAGGACAGGAAGAGAGGAAAGGGTTGAAAAGCTAATAGAGGCACTGAATGGAATGCTTAATGTCTGTTATGTTTGTTGACATTGTGATGGTTCAGATAAGGGAGATGCATGCCAAAAGATGAGCTTTTTTTCTTTGATTTAGGGAGCTGGGAGATGAGAAAGGAAACGATACTTTTCAGTTAGCTACTGCTGGTTGCATGTAGCCTTGGCAGTATTGAACTGATCTGGGTGAAACACATTCAGATATCTTCTTGCTGTTAATGGTAGAAGGAGACAGGAAGCGTAGTGTCTTGCTGAGGTATCTTCAGCTGCAGAGTTACCAGAGTTACTGCAACTATATTGGGTGAATCTCTAGAGCGTCTTGCTTTTTGGTTGACCAGCCTGACTTGGATGAATTTCTTCTGATTTCACTATCAGCATACCAGTAATGTGGATCCACTCACTTAACTGGAAAGCAGCGCTGAATGTTAGCATACAAAGTACTCACACAAGCAGCGTCCCGCAGTTAGCATGAGGAGAGGCACAATATTCCTGGTGAGGGATCTTCAGCTGCCGAGGCATGCCCCAGTTTTGGTTTACCAAAGCTTCACCGTGTTCTTCTTCAGGTTACATGGCAAAACCTCTGTTTTCTATGTGCTTTTCAGGTGTTGCAAGGGTTGTAGTGAGATAGGCCTGGTTACCCTAGACTTTTGGAGATTATGGAGTGCAGGTATGATTGTTTTTAGATTAACTAGACGATAAAATAAAAGATTATCATAGTTATTAGTGTGGGCTCTGATGTCACATGTGTCTTAGAATTTCCCAATTGCTTCATCTGTCAAGTCTTATAATTTGTCTGCACTAGAGTGTGGCTACTTTTCTACAAAAAGAACATCTGTTCTTGAATTTAAAATTTGCGGCGATGGAGATAGATAGTATCACAAAACCTAATGAACTTTTTTCTGGATTTCTCTAGGTTTTGCTTCCAATCTTTTGAGCTTGATGTGTTTTGTCTGAGAACAACTGGAAGAATTGTATTCCAGGCAAATGCTAGTCCTTATGTAGATATTTGCAGTCTGTGATCAAAATATCTTATGTCTGTTGATAAACAGAATAGAATGAGCTATTGGAATCACTTTCAATAAACTGCATTTTCCAGTTCTTTCCAATACATCCCTTGGGCTCTTTCAATCTTTAAATATTGCTGTAAGTGTTGACTTAAATAATAATTTTTATATTGAAATATCTGTGTTGGCAGTATTGTGCGAACACATTTTGTTATAAGAAGTAAATATGTAATATGGAAAAAGAAACAGTCTCTCCAATCACATACAGTGTCAGCTGCACAGTCAAAAGTACCAGCTTCTTTTTTCAGGTGCCAGTGGGACTTAGGGTATGAAAGAGTTGAAATTAGAAAGTAGTGAGCAAAGACACCTCACTTAATTACTCTCTTGCAACCTTCAGGCATTGATTTTCTCATTTGGGCTTGTGCAGTTTTTAAAGAAAATGGAATAAGAATTATGTGAGGTCAGCAACTGCTATCTAAAATTATCCACTATGAACTTGCTGTAGAAGGATTAAAAGTATGTTGCTGGTTCAACATTTCTTCTCACCCACATATAAGGAATGGAGACTTTGTGTTGGGCTATACCAGTACAAAATTGCTATATTCAGAGACCACGATAAATCCAGATTCATTGTGGCCCATGGGATTATGACATGAAAATGGGGTAAGAGCAATATCCCAAAACATAAGGAAATACAGGATAAAGGATGGGCATGACAGAGCCAGGAGGTGGACTGCAGCAACATCTGGGGAACAGCTGAGAATGCAGTATGTATTGACTGACATATTTCTAGGCTAGAAAGATTTCCACCATCTTCTATCTTGTTTTTTTTTTTAACAGGTGAAGTCAAATGTGAGGCACCAAATAACAAACTAGATAAGTTCACAGGAACTCTTACTCTTCGAGGAGAAAAGTATGCCCTGGACAATGAAAAGATGCTGCTGAGGGGCTGTACTATTAGGAACACAGAGTGGTGCTTTGGTCTCGTTATTTATGCTGGTAGGTCAAAAACTCAACATGTACATTGTGAATTGCAGAGCACAGCAGCATTAACATGTGAGCACATAAAACACAGTAAGTACCAAGCAACCAAATATTTTCCTCTTCAGAAAATTTGTTTCTGCCAGGTACAAGAGCAAGAGAAAAACTATACATGTGATCCCTTGACTGAACTCTAGGCTAGAAATTTTGCATACTACAGGGGATTTAAATTTGGAATTTTTTTATAGTGGTCTATAAGAGAAATCTGAATTGCAAATGCTACATTACAACATCCAATTCCATCTTGATGGAGTACTTTGGTAAGCAAAGGCAGTCTCTTATTCCATAAACTCATGCAGCAAATAACATGACAGAAATCTTAACGGAGCGATCAATAAGGGAGAATTTAAGAGTTAAGTCTGTTTAAGGATGCATTGGCCAATAGGAGACTTTCTGTATCTCCAAGCATATACAAAACTTCCCACTGTTAAGAGTTTCTATCAGTTCTATATGATTGCAATCCCTATTGGAATATCAGGATCTTTACTGATGTTACTGTAGGCTATTAGATCTGTGCTTTTTACAAGTGTAGAACTTCTGTTTCTACAGTGCTATAGACATTTGAGACAATGTGTAATATGCCACCAATAACAGAGCATTAGCAGGTATTCTATGAGAAGTAATTAAACCCGAAAGGGAGGATTGATTTTTGACAGAAGAGAGCAGGATCCAAATCCAGAATGAATGGTTTTATATATGAATCTCTCCATATGATCTAAAGCAAGTTATTTAACCTTTTTCTGCCTGGGTTTCCCACCAACACTATCAACTACTTGCACCTGCTTTCAAGAAGGCTCTGATGGGTATTTGTGTTATAAAGCATGGTGAGGCATCAAACCGAATCAACTTTTGAACTGTTAAGCATTGTTACTAGAAATCATGAGTGTATTTGATCTCCAGGGCCAGATACCAAACTGATGCAGAACAGTGGAAAAACAACTTTTAAACGGACAAGCATCGATCGGCTCATGAATGTCCTTGTGTTAGTGGTAAGTCTGATTAATTTGTCTTCATTTCTTCAGATGTGTTCATCATTTCTGAATGCTCCACCTCTTGTCCTCACAAATGAGGGGCTATCAGAAGTGACTAATGATAAAAAGACGAGTTCTGTAAAAATTTATTAGCATACAGACTTCTGCAATGCCTTGGCCTGCCTATCTTGCAAAGCAAGGCCATTACATTGACAGTGTTACAGACCTTTCTTCTGAGCTTTTCAATTGCTGTGCTTTCTCTCTCTTTCTCTCTCTCTTCACATTTTTTTGTGAGAATCCCTTTGAAGCCTGCAAATTTCTTCTTCTGATAATTTTGTCATTTTCTATTTAAATTAACATTAGCAGTTCTCCCTCTCCTTGCTGATTGCTTGGCATCTTTGGTGGTATCTGCACAGGACTTGGTTATCTCAAGTCTGTTGATGTACGTAATGCTAACTTTTGACTTAACACATTAGGGTAAAATGTTAGCTACGGTCTCATTAACACCCAGAAACTGGTGTTTTCAGCAGCTGGCAAATTTGAGAACACTAATCTTGTGTAGCAGGTACTCTCCACAAATTAGGAGACAAATCTGACTTGAGGTTTAAGCTTGTCAGCAGTTTTAGCAAAGAGCAAACATTTCCACCTGGAGATAGTGAATTTTCTACAGAAACCCTCCCAAGACTTTACCACTTGAGCTAAAAGCCACTCAGGCAAGGGACTGTTTTGGTTGCTACTGCCAGTCTTCAAAGACATTCTGACACTGCTTTATTCAATGTTACATGAAGGAAAGCTCCTTAGTTTCAGGGTTTTATTTTCCTTTGGATGCAATTTTGTCATGCTTCTTCATGCATGTTCCACTGCCTTCCCTTTATCTTACAGGAAGAGCTGGCCACTCTTACGGTCACCTCTTCCTACAAGCATTCACTGTTCCCTCTTCTTCCCTCCTGCCCTTGCTCTCCGGGCAAGCTGGGGCCAGGATTCATCCCCCTGGTGCTGGAGCAGGCCCTGGGGAGAAAAGATCTGGAAGCCTCCCCCAGCAGCCTGTCCCTTACAGCCTAGCGCAAAGCCCTGTGACCGGCTGTCCTGAGCTCTGCCTTCCCTCGGAGGCTTTGTGCCTCTTCAGCATGGGGTCTTATAACACGTATATCTCCAAGCTTCCTCATCTCGCCATCCTTGGCACTTTATCCCAGGCCCTGCCCTCCTGTTTTTGTTTTTATTTTAGAATTGCAAAAACTCTTTAGCTGTGCTCAGAGATAGGAGAAGTTAGTGGACAGCCGTGCCACTGCCAGAACACAGGCTGTATGTAGTGTGCTGTGAGTCTGAAAATTATACCAAAGCGGCACCAGTGACACTGGCTCCCAGAGCTGTTACAGTGCCCTCCTGAACCATGTGCATGTGTGTATTTGCTATAAAGCAATGCCACTGCACAGAGAGCAACTCCAGGGTCATCTTCAAGCACCCTTGAGTCCTTACTCAGTGTGCAGTAAGGACGCTCACTCCCTTGACTTTAGCAACATTATGCCAGTCTATGCTGATGTTTTCCTCCGTGTGTTGTCTCCTCAGACTTAGGGGGGGACACAGAAAAGAAGGTCTGTGCAGCATGAGTGCCTAATATTCAGAATTTTGCAGATGTTTGAAAAACTTCACATTTTCTTAGGTGTCCTGTTGTGATGTAGTTGGGAAGGAGGAAGGGATGCAGGGTCCAGCTATATTGGATCCCTAGTGCAAGGAAACAGAGCAGAGAAAAAGTGAGTAGGGAACTATGGATTTAACGCTTGATTAGGGTTTGCCTACTCTTCTTTCACAAGTTAAGGGTCCCACCCAGAGTCTTCAGACTGTTTGGCCTCTCTTTGTAAACATGAACAAGATCAATTTAGCTCCTGGCTCTGTTTTAAAAAACTGAGCAAGTTGCAGATGATTGCATCAGCCTCTGCCTCGGTTCTTGGACATTGATTGAGCCAAGCGTGTGTTTTTCTCTCTCATGCATTTTTAAGGCACTTAACATTTTGGCATCCAAGTACAGTTCTGTTCTACTCTAACCACCTGGTTCTTCATACACCAAAGGGAATGTGGCATGAGGTCCTTTCAGCTCACTCTATGGTCAAAGTTTACAAAGCGTGGTCATAAAAAGAGGCATTGTGTTGCAGTCTTGAGTTTGGAAACACAAAGCAGCTATAGCTTGCTATAAATAGCTCATTTTAAGTGAAATGAAACTTGTTCCATGTGAACACAAGCAAAGCTATTTTGTGTTTAATTGTCCGTGAAACTTACAAAACAGTGTTTAAGCAGGGCATTCAAATAGAGTCCTGGTTAAATGTAGCCCTTGTGTATCTCAACAAGAGTTAATCAATCAGGAATAAACCTTTCCATATGGAAACCGTAGTTTTCTTTTTCATGTTTGGGAGTGTTTGGCAGCATAGGACTGAAATCAGAGGGAGAGGAACACAGTATTTCTCAGAGATCTCAGAAAGAAGTGAATGTTCCTCGGCTGAGGACACACCCACCAGCACCACGAATGCGTTTTGCTCTGAGGCTTGCTTTTTCTGCAGGCTTGGATAAGCACATTTTCAGAGAAATGGAGCTGTCACTCTCAGCTCTAAATGCCTTATTGCTTCAAATCCCAAAACAGAACTCCAAAGTGCCAATAAAGAAACTGAAGCAGTCATAGTCTGACATGAAATGTCTGTCAAAAGTCATCTTCTCTTTATAAAAAAAACAACTGCTCAGTCCTTCAGAGGATACATCATGGGCACTGCATGGTCTAGTCCCAAAGAGAGAGGATGTTCACGGTGGGAAGCCCCATGAGCAGGTCATGTGCAGGTCTGCGATCTGGTTTATTCACATCCTTCTCTTACAGAGGCTGTGGTAATGAGTACAACACCCTGTACACAGTTGTTTCTCCTTATGGAAATTAATCTCTGGGGCTGCTGTTGGGTCAACAGCTCAGTCTTTCGCATGCGTCTCAAAGTGAAGTGTGTTAGCAATCCTTGTATAAGCGTAAGTGTTATACACAAATCCAACCTTGTACGGATGAGAGCAGATATACAAAATGTACATAAAGCAAAGCGTATATAAGGCAGTATATAAGTGCAGTAGTTGGGTCCGGGGACAGGAGCTGCTGTGATATGGGAAACTTCAGCTGCTGTCTGCCCCATGTTTATTTCTGTTGCTAAATCATACTTGTTTCCACACTGAATTTCCTATGTAGAAGATGATATACTACAAACTGACAATTTTTAACCTGTGCGACCTCAACCAGGAATCTTTCAGGGCATAATGATAAAAAAAGCCAGCTGGCTCTTCTAATTAATTTCTTTTACAAGAGACTATGTCTCCAGAGGCAAGTAATATCTTTCATTTATTTCTAGAAAAATGGACAAGCTTGTCTGTTTTCTCCATCTATGTCCATTACCCATCCCCAGGTCATGCCTCTATTATATCCTTAGATCATCATGACCGTAGCAGTGCAACTTGTAGTCTGTTTTTAGTGCCAGTCACAGAGGTTGAAAAGCACCACACTGCATTCCTTGCTAGTTGTCTCTGTTTCACAAGTGGAGAAACTTGACGGACTTGCTGGAATTCAGTAGATAAGCTACTACTGGTGTGGAAATAAACTGGTCTCCTGAGAATGAGCCCAGCACATTTACTTAGTGCAGTCCTTCTTTAGCGTCTTCTTGATATTAATCTTAATTTGGTAGGGTATGCGCTTTCAACGAAGCAATTCAAATCTCTCTCTAAAGGTATCCTTCCTCCCCTCATAGTTTACCTCAGCAACATAAATATCAGCTTTATGAACAAAAGTTTCTCTGTTTGTACCTCAATTATTTTTTAAAAAGTTGTGTGGTAATATGACTGTTACTGGCTGGCCTTATACGTAATGGCCCAGTTTACCGGTATTTCCTCCTTAATAGCCATAGTTGCAAGAAATGATGCTTAGTCCCCTATTGTGCTGCTGGTTGATTCTGTATCTTCATGTTTTTATTAGGATGTTGGTCATGCTAAGTCAAATATTTGGAAAAGTCCAAATGTTCCATATCAACAGAATTGCTTTTATCACCCTTTCTCCAGGAACGATGTCAAGCTAACTTCAGTTTATCTTTCCCATGGTCACCATTTCTACCTTTCAAATACTGGAATTGTGTTGGCAGATTTTCAGGATAGTGGAGCTTCCCCAGCTTTTCAAGCATTGTTAAAAATTAACTCTACTAGTTAAGAGAATTTCTCAGCCAGTTCCTTTAAACTGTTATATTTGAATTACCTGGACCTATTTTGACAATGCTAATTATTAGCAGATAGAGCTACGTACTGTTCCTTGTTACAGATGGTAAACTGTCTTTTCCATCTGCTACATCATATGGGATAGATACATCCTTCTGCTTCATTTAAAATGAAGAAAAGTCATTGAACATGACTGCCTTTCCCACATCTCTATTTATGAGTTTACCATTTTCTTTTCTTGATATTTTATAGGACTATTAGTTATTTATAGCTCAATGATTCCTTACTGCTCATATTAATTTTTCTTAATTACCCCTCTTTCCTTTCTTTTTATATTCATTTCCAAATTATTGTGTTGCTATGTTCTTTTAATCAAGTGCTTTATGACCTATGTAATGTTTTTATGCCTATGGAATGGTGTTCCTGAGCAATTCCCAGTTTTTACTAAGGTGTTCCACTTTGAAATTCTGTTCTTGCTGTGCCACTGGTTGCTTTAGGCTTCAGTAAATAAGCTTCTTTCAAGTCTAAGGATACACATCACTGGTTAGTGCTGCTCTCTGTTTGCTCAAAGGAAATGTAATCAGATTGTGATGGCAGGTACCAAGGCAACCATTAGTTCTGAGTCAGTGATTAACTCTCCTTTGACCATCAGAATAGTATCCAGTACTCAATTCCAACTTGTTGAGTACAGGACTTGCTGTATTAAAAATTATCCTTAGTATTTTTTCAGAAACTGTAAGGAAAACTTTGTTCTTAGCCCATGATACATCCAGCAAATGGCCAGATAAGGTGCTTTGTGAGATTTCTGTTCCCAAGTGTGCAGGCAGATGTTTGAGGAGCAGCAGCTCAGCTTACATCTAGTGAGGTTTGACGTTCTGTAGCCAGCTGCCCATGAGGTCCTCATTTTAGGTCCCTGCTTAGAACCTAAATTCCCAGGTGTTTGATGTCTTGTGATTCCAAATCACCAAAGAGACTGTACGGTGTAATTTTGTCTTTGAATTTAATTGCCATGCTTTTGCTCTTTTTCCTCCTTCACCACTAGGAACCATTTCCATGTGATTCAGGCTGTCTAACCCAATCTGATTAGGGTCTTTTGATTAACCTGTACATAATAAATTCCACGTTTCTAAAATCCAATATCTTTGTTGTTTTTGCAGATCTTTGCGTTTTTAGCACTGATGTGTCTTATCCTAGCCATTGGAAATGGCATCTGGGAGTACGATAAGGGCTACTACTTCCAGGTCTATCTGCCCTGGGCAGAGGATGTCAGTTCTGCCTCCTACTCTGGCTTCCTCATGTTCTGGTCGTACGTGATCATTCTAAACACGGTGGTCCCAATTTCGCTCTATGTCAGGTATGTGCCTGAACCTCATTTCATGTTTCATCTTAGGTGAGCTTTGACTTTTGCTTTAGTTGGGAGCAGCGCTTTTCCCAGTACATGAATGAATTACATTGTGGGTATGACACACAGCCCAGGCCAGCTCTGAGTGCCAGTGCCACCTAGTGAGGACCCCTAATAGCCACTGCTTTCTTTGTGGGTCTTGACTAGTCAGAATAAGCCCCATGCGGTTTTAAAGAACAGAGGGTTAACCTTTTTTTCTTCTCCTTAATTCCCTCCTTGATTTGTCAGGATCTAAAATCGCATTGTTGGATAACTCCACACCACAGCGATGCTGTCCTTTCTGCTGCCTTGGGAGGGCTCTGCCAGGGCTGGAGCTGGGATACCAGTGAGGTCGTCGAGAGGGGAGGATGACTTTGCAGTTGAAGGGGAAGTTTTCATTTAGGATACTATGGGAGTGAGAGTGGAAACCTGCTACTGGTAGCACATTGCTCTTCCATGGTTACACTGTCCACCAAAGAAAGTGAATGTCACATTCTCCAATGTGACTGTAGGGCTCATGTGAGGACTGAATTGCCAAATAGGTATGTTTAACCAGCCTGACGACCTGTTGGGCTTGGCACAGTATGAACAGAGAGAATGTCATCACTTGTCTAGAGGTCATAGTGCTGTGTTGGTTCCTGCAGATAGGCAGGCAGGTGTAAAGGGGAGGCAACACGCCTGTCATGCTTTGGAAACCCTTAGGCTGGGGTGCAGACTGACTTGGCCTGTACAATTTATTGTTTGAATCTAACTCTTCATGGAGCTTTGCTACTGCCTCTAGAGTGAATCCTTAGTGTATAATTTGTACAGACCATTTATGTAAAGTTTGTGATGTCAGACCTCAAAGGACAACTCTTAGCTCCTGGTGCTGCCCTTTCAACAATGGTGCCAAGAGAGGCGAAGAGTTGTGAGTTTGGAAGTTGCATTCTGAGACTCTCTTCTGTGTTAGGAAATATGAATAATTCATTCCATTCCTGTCTAGTGTTTCACACCAACAACAAAATGGAAATTCATGTTGCCTGTGTGCTGGTACAGCTCCATGATTATATTAAATTACACAATGACTCACTTGTTCTGGAAGTCTGGGCTGTTTCAACCATGGCTGTTCTCAAACCCGGGCATCGCAGCTCAGCCCAGCCCAGCATCCGACTGAAAATGTGCTCAGTCTGACCACCATTCCCTAAACTGAACCAAATGAAACACACTGCTGCTGCCATCTCGCTCTTTGGTCCAGGGACATGGCCTACCCACAGCCTATTTGGTGTGCAGTGCTGCCGCTCATTCACAGCAGGATTAAAGAAGGTTTGAAGGAGTCTGGGTGAGGGTGACTTCTTGCTGCTTTTTAACTCAGTGTCCAGCCTAAGGCTTTCTATGACAGAAGGGTGGCCCTGACAGAAGCAAATACAGACTGAAAGAAAGCATCAGATGTTTAAAGTTTCTTAAATACTTCTGAAACTTTTCAAATGTATTTTTAAGAAGTTGTTTTATAAATAAAAGAAAGGAATTTACCACAAACCTAAACAATTTTTCCAATGGTACTTGCTTCAGCAGTGCTTAATATACACTCTTTAAGACACTCATGTCTTTCAGACTTTAGGGACCACCTGGTGAGTACTCCCTGTCATTACTTTCAAAGTTGTCTTCTAAATGCAATTACTAGCAGTCGTGCTTAAGATAAAGATCTTGTCTCTTAAACTAATGAATATTTCATCACCTTCTTTTCCTGTTTCACCAGTGTAGAGATTATACGTTTGGGCAACAGCTTCTACATTGACTGGGACCGTAAAATGTATTACCCAGTGAATGACACACCGGCTCAGGCCCGTACCACCACACTTAATGAAGAGCTGGGGCAAATCAAGTACATCTTCTCAGACAAAACAGGAACTCTCACTCAGAACATCATGTGTTTCAACAAGTGCTCCATCAACGGCAAATCCTATGGTACGATATCAGTTTGTCTTATTTTCTGGGTCTGCCTCTTAGTCCACAGAGACTAAAATGATATCTAGACAAGACAATCTTGTAAGGAGTGGAACAGACTTAAATGCTATTATGTGAGAATTACTGCTCTGAAGTGATGGGTGGTTACTGATGCCATCAGGCCTGGAATAGGCACTGATATGCTTATGCCAAGATGCTCGATCTGTCTGTCTGGGTGTTCCCTCATCGGCAGGGGAAAGTATCCTGTACCCTCCAGTCCTTCTGACCATGGAAGTTTGTTTGACTCGTGTGTTATGGTCAAAAGAACAGATTTGGTTTATCATCCTAATCTAGCTGCAGTGATCAAGTGCAAGGCTACCCATCAGATATTCCTGGACAGTCTTGATTACATTATTTGCATATCTTAATATCATTTTTCTGAACCTTGATTCTCCTTTTGCTCTTGTACCTCCCTTTTTCAGGCCTAGTATCCTCCTAAGTAAAGAACCTGCCCCTAACTACTTTTTCCCTATTGGTCCCAATTTTGCTACATCTGTACCCAGCGTTTGTTTTTTCTGATATTGCTACCTAGGTGATCTCAGGCTTATATGGTATTATTGATATGGTACTGTTAACCTTGCCAGACTATTCTCCCCAAAAGGCCCCCAGTATTTCCCTCCAACTATTTGTGACATTCAGCTGTTTCTTACATAACTCCCTCTTAGCCACTTGTGAAATCAGCCATCCATCACGGCTCTATCTGTAACTTTTGTCAGCTTCTCACACAGTTACCTCTTGAATTTAGCAATTTCTCATGTCATGAGCAGTGGTTTTCCACATCCTGTTCAGGTAGGTTAACCTTAGGCCAAGGCCTACTCAATGGCCTAGCCATTTATCTGCAGCCATAACTATTACTTCACCTACTAGAAGAGAGAAAAGGTTGTCAGGAGTTGGAAAAAAATGGGAAACAAAAGTTGTTGGCTCTGTTTGATCCGAACAGTCATTGGCTTAACAAGCTCATTCATTGTCTGGTCCAGAGCAGTTTTCTCCATACGCCTCAGGAGGTGCCAAGGATTCACAAATTGTCTAGTTGATTAGCATCATTATACTCCCCCAGAGAAATTAGTCACAGCTTATTTGTAGATTGATGCTTGTTGTGCCTGTGTCAGACCTGCTGATGGAATAGTGTGCCAGAAGACTTGTCTTTTTTTCTCAGTGCTATTAGTTGGTCCAATTAAAGAGGTTATTTCTTCCTATAAATTTTGCTTTGCTTATATCTCTAGACCATTGTATCTACAATAGCGCTACTATGCTAGCTAGCATTAGTACTGCTAATCAGAGTTTGAGAAATATTCAGTCTGGTTATTCAGGTCTTGTAATAGACTTTTCCAAAGTGGATGTCACCTCAGAACATAGACATAGGATGTAGGTTCAAGAAATGAGTGGGAAAGATGCAAAAATAAAGCAGACGACTGTCTATTCGCTATTGTTTTCTAAAAGCTCAGCTTCCTCCTTGGAACATGCTTCTTTGGATTGCCTGCTCAGGCGTGTTTGGGAAAGCCATACCAGGAAGGATGAATCGGTTCTCCTGCTTGGGAAGGTACTCTGGAGGCTTAGACTTCCCATTGAAAAGGAGGTGTCTAAATGTCTCTTGGCTACAATTCCCGGGAGATAAACTCACGTGCAGTGGAGATGAGATTCTGGATTTTGTCGCGGACTAACAAAGGGACAGACTGATATGAATCATCGGTCCTCAGCCTTCCCGTCAACATATGTGTGATTATTGAAACTCTTTAACTTGATCCTAGCTTTAAAACTTTAACTAGTTTCTGTGGTAGAGAGGCTCAGAGACTGCACCTAGCTGGAGTTTGTGGCTATAACCCCAGCCTCTCTTGCTTTCAGGTGATGTGTATGACCTGGCTGGCCAAAGGATAGAAATAAATGAGGTAAGTGCTCAAGTGCTAACCGGGCAGGCTCTGTACTTTCCGCATAGGTGCCAGTGGACTCTTGGTATATTCCACCGAGGCACAGTTCATGCTCATGATCCTCTTGATCCTGACAACAGGGAGGTCGGTTCTGACGGGCCTCAGAGGATTTTCAGAATTGCATTCCCCTTCAGCACGCCTGGTTTACACCTGCACGGAGGGCATTCTGAGTGCCTGCTGTTCCCTCAGCTTCACATGGCATCCTACTGCATGCCCAGCTCCTCTGAACACTTGGCCATTGCTGTTTGTCGGAAACCTGGACGTTAGTGAATTTTATTATCCTTGGCAGTGAATTAAAGTTTTTGCTGGGAATCAGTGAGTTCAACTTGTATCTGTAAGAAGGTCACTGTCAAATTCTCCTAATGTCTGGACATTGGAAGGTGTGGAAATGAGTGACCTTCCCATTTCTATCTAGCCTCTGCCTCTGCTTGCTGGCACAAACCTGACTGTCTGGGATTTTAATGCCTAAAATGTTTGAAAACTGTATGTAGTAATTCAGGTAACAAATGGCAAGATGATGATCAAAATGCTACTCCTCATTCCAGTGATTCATTTCCAAGCTCTTTAAAACTTAAATTATCCATTGAAATTGTCTATTTGTACTGAGTGCTGTGCCTACAGACTGCCCTCACTCAGGCAACAAAATGAGAAGGGCTGACTTGCTTAGGGAGGGAGAGATGCTGATTTGCTGCCAACCAGCTGCCCAGCAGCTTCTCCTGCCCCTGCTACCCCAGAGAGCACAATCCTGCAGGTCAAAGGGCTGCTTCTCACACATCTGTGGTGTTGCAGTGTCCAGAGCTTGTTGTGCAGGCTAGTGGGGGAGCAGAGGGACTGCGCTCTTTTGGTAAGTGTTAAATGTCAGCTTACACAGGTCAAAAGCATGACTTCCCATCCTGGAAACTCTGAGCTCTCCAGGGATGAGGAGGGAGTCTGAATGGTCCCGGGCAGGCTCAGCGGTGCATTCCTCCATGACACATCATACTTTGAGCTTCTGGCTGTTTCTCAATATGTTCCACTCTGTTTGGAGTGGAGGCAAAAAGGGCAGCGCCTGTGGAGCTGAACCTTTACATCATTTTTTTGCCATCCTTTTTCATATCAGGTTTTTTTTCTCTTTCTGTGGGAGAATAGGGTGGGGAATACAGCCTTTTGAATTGTTTTAAATTGGGCCTCCACATTCACCTTTTGCTGACAGCCATCGAAATCAGGAGCATAATGGCTCCAAACAGGCATGTGTTGTGAAGGCAGGCATTTCTGCACTACAGAAATCCTTTAGCAGGCACCTCATAGGAGCATTTACTTAGTACAGGAGGCATCTTTAGCTAAAGAGGTCATCAGTTGGAGCGCTGCTTTGAAAGGCACCTCAAGTGCCTGTCCTACTCTGTGATTCAGTGGCTTACACAGCCTCCCATTTATTTAGATTCATCAGCCTTTCTTGTCAATAGCCCTATAGGAGAGGGATTTTTTGTAAAAGTAACAAAGAGAGGGGGCTATGGTGGGCAGTCACTGGTGTACAGACATAGGAGTGCTTTACAGATAATGCTGAACCATATTTTTGCAGAACACAGAGAAGGTTGATTTCTCATACAACCAGTTAGCCGACCCAAAGTTTGCCTTCTATGACCACAGCCTGGTTGAAGCTGTGAAGCTGAGTGATGTCCCAACGCATAGGTTCTTCCGGCTGCTCTCACTCTGTCACACAGTAATGCCAGAAGAGAAGAAGGAAGGTGAGGACTCTTGAAGGCACCGGTCTGAGTGGCTAATGTCCACCCTGCATCACAGTATGTCTTTTCTTCACAGAAGCTGTAACTGGTCCTTTTGACTCCCTGGTGATTTTCTGTAGTGTATGGCTACATGCAAATCTGTGTCTTTGGAGATTCTGCATGGGAAGACCAGTGCCACCACTCCCCATGTGTTCCCATGGTGGAAATGACACTAGTGCAACCACCACATCTCTGAAATTTGGAAATTTCAGGTGCCAAAGCATCCCCAAGAAGATGGGTAGATGGCTTGCCTCACTCTGCCTCTGCTCTGCACCAACTCCTATAAAGAGTAGAGCATATGGCACCTATCTACTGGAGACTCATTAGCTCTCCTCATCCAGTGTTCCTGCAAGTATGGGCCTGTTAGGATGAAGTTCCATCTTTCCTGGTGCTTTAAGGGCTAGAATTGTTAATACGTGCAAGATGAAAGTATTGATGAGAAAAACACATACAGATGTAACTAGAAGTCCTTAAACCCAAGGAAGTTGGCCTCCCAGTGAGATCTTTTGGACTCCAAAGAGAGTGATAAAGGCCCCAAAAAGAGGCTAGGATCTCTTGCACTGGCCTAGGGGATAGAGTGGATGGAACTAGATGGAGAGATGTGATCACAAGGTGCTTTTTAGTGCTAGGTCTTTGCAGATAGCTAGAAGAGCAGATGGCTAACTGCTATGTAAAGTCTTTGATCCTGTATTTGTTTAGCCTCAGGAGCAAGATAGAAGTGATATTACTTGTCTTTCTTGCATGTCAGGTAACTTGGTGTATCAGGCCCAATCTCCTGATGAGGGAGCCCTCGTCACTGCTGCCAGAAACTTTGGATTTGTTTTTCGGGCTCGCACACCGGAGACCATCACTGTTGTGGAAATGGGAGAAACAAAAATCTACAAGCTGCTGGCTATTCTTGATTTCAACAATGTGCGCAAGCGAATGTCTGTTATTGGTATGTCCTCCTCGCTCCCTTCTTTCTTTCCTGACTTCTTATGCTCTCAAGTTTGCCCTCATTCTGCTTAGATGCCTTTCCCACGGACAGCTCCTTTGTATCACTTTCTGAATACTATTTACTTCTCAGTGCTTGCGATGGGCATCCTCAACCATTCACTAACACAGCAACAGTGCTAGATAAAGATCTAATCTGTGTAGGTGGGAGGACATCTTCACAGCTGGACCACAGTGATGGAGCAGCTTCCTGAAGACACTAGGCTTTCTACACATTTCATCTCCTTCATAACAAAGCAGGATCCTACTTCCTTCCGGTCAGCTTCAAAATTATCAGCAAAAGCTGAGGAAGTGGGAAAGGAGAAAGCAAAGACAAGAAATCCAATTTCCCACAGGGGAAATGGTGAAACAATTCAAGAAACCTAGTGTAGCCTTTATTAATCCTGCAGTGTCCTCAGATACGTTAGGGACTGGGATGGCATAACTGCAACAAGAGAGTGGCAGCACCTCTTTTGGCAGCAGGACTGTTCTCTAGCAGCAGACTGTTTTTGTCTTTTGAACATACATGTCCTCCTTGAGGTGCTGTTTGTAGGCACCACATAGTCTAACAGAGCATCTGTTCAGACCAGTGTAGTCTGGGAACTGTCTTCTGTGCCACTGCCACTGAAGTTGAGAGTAGTTACATTATCTTCTGTTCTAAGCAAAGCGCATCTCAATTCCTGGCAATTTGCCAACACATGGCAGAGTATGGATGTCTTTAAAAACCTTTATTTGTTTAGAATGCAAGTGCTATGAACGCTGAGTGTCCGGTATTTGTAGAACTATTATTCCTCTTCCTTGTAGTGCGGAGTCCAGAAGGTGACTTGACTTTGTACTGCAAGGGGGCTGACACCATTCTTTATGACCTGCTTCATTCATCCTGTGAGTCTCTCAAAGAAGAGACAACAGAACACCTGAATGTAAGTGCTTCCTTCTGCACAACAGCTCTGCATTTGATGGTTGCCTTTTGTCCATGTATTCAAACCTTTCTCATGCCTTCCTCTGGACTAGAAATGCAATTTGTATTGAGATGAAGAGCAGATCTCAAAAGCAATGCCCAAACATCAAGTATTTTATTATTTTTCATGGGGAATGAAGGAGGAAATTAATTTATAAAGTCTCTGGTGTCAAATCAGTTGCCTAAGTATATGCATCAGGTGCCATTTGAAGTGCTCTAGCATATTCCATATATCTGCACATAGCTGGCAAATGCAATGCAGGACATTTAAAAGACCTGTGTGTCTTTGGAATAGGAGCTGGAGACCAAGATAGGATAATTGGGGCATCGGAAATGGCACTGCACATCTGTGTTTTGGTAACTAAATTGCACCTAAGTCTGCTGTTACTGTACAATGCATGCACCCAGTACATTCAAACATGCCTTGGATTGGAATAACTCAGGCAATGAGTAAAGGGCCACTGAGCCTTTCTCCTTCTTGAATACAATCTAGATCTGCAGTGATTGTGATCTGAGAGGCCTCAGTCAAAAAGGACTACACAGGCACTGGGGCATACGCTGGCTCCCTCCCTCCCCCTCCAGATCATATAGGGGTATATTGACTGGGCAGCTTGGAAAATGTGGCATTCAAACTTGTGGGTTTCTATATTGTTGATGGTGTATGCTGTGAGGTGATTACTCACACAGGTGGATGTTTTGCCCAGTGTTTACTCCCTTGTGATACCAGATTCTGCTGGTACAGTGCAGAGCACAAGGTAACAGAAAACCTTGCTAGAGAGGTTGCAATGGCACAGACATCTCTGCTCACTGCCCTGAGGGAGCCAGGGAATGTTGCCAGTGAAGGAAGGGCCAGAGCACCGGGAGATGGGCTGTCAGTAAGGTCAGTTCCTTATGCAACTTTACTTCAAGCCTGTTCTTTCAGAATCCACAAGGAGAGAGAAATTGTATGTCCTGTTACGGGAAGGAAGCCTTCAGTTTGCAGAAAGGGTTCTCTGTTATCTTCCAAACACTGAGATGCATATCTCCAGCTAAGCATATGCAGAAAGGGCACTTACAAGGACTTGCTGAGATGCCATGACTGATGGTGCTCACACTAAGCAAACAGTTGGACCAGCATTTGCACCTATAAAAATGTTGAGCACTGCTGAATTTCAATTTAAAGCTGAGCTCAGTGTGTTTTATTTAGGTCTCATTATTCTGAATCTCATGTTGAGAAATATCAATGAGGGAAACAAGTGCCTCGTTAACGTAAAGCTTTAGAATGAAAACACAGGAAAGCCCTTTTGAATTTGTTTTCTGTAAGGGCAGTGGCTGGCAATCATAAAGTGATGTGGAACTAGCTGTTAAAAAATACCCCTAGGTTTGTGGTCTAAGGTGTGATTTTTCACCTTTCCTTTGCAGACTTTAGGTAAGAAGTTTGAAAGAAAATGGTTATTTGTAAAGAGGGTTCTTTGTAAACCCGAGTGAGGAGACTATTCTTCTTTGACCTCTTCTGCCTCACCACTGTCTCACAGGAGTTTGCTGGTGAAGGTTTGAGGACGCTCGTTGTGGCCTATAAAAACTTGGACGAAGAATACTTTGAGGACTGGATCAGGCGTCAACATGTAGCAAGCACTGCCTTGGAAGGAAGGGAAGATAAATTGTCGGAGTTGTATGAAGAGATTGAAAAAGATTTAATGGTTGGTATTTCATGGAATCTGGGCCAAGCTCTGGGGGAGGTGGCAAGGATAGCGGTTTGTCAATAAACAGCTCAGTATGGCTTCAGTAAACATTGTTCTGCAAACAGCTCAGTGCGTTGTGAGCCTGGAGTGGTTTGGAACAAGGCAGTCCTGGGTTTTCACTGGCACCTCTGTGAGAAGCCAGTAACTGGGGTGTCAACCATCAGTGCATGGGAACAGTTTTATTTTAACTCACAAGGGTGTCAGAGTAGCTTTCTTGTGATGAAGCAGCATACCAGAGCTTAAGGGAGATGACAGAGACACAAATATTTCATAGCTATCCCTTGTACATGCAAATGGCTGATGTATTTATTCTTCTGTCTTTGAAATAGCAGGCAGTGAATAGTCCCCAGGTTCCCCTCCATTTCAAAGAGTGTCATCTTTGTTCTTGCAGCCCTGGGCAAGATGGAGGATGATGTCCATGAAGTTGTTTGTGTCGGTTTGAAATAGGGCTCAACTGTGATCTTCAAGTCATTCTTTTCTCCATGAGTATTACTACAGCTTTTTGAACACTCCAGGGTTTGCCTGTGTTTTAGAGCCATGAATAATGAATGAAAAGGATGAGATGTGTGGGATCTGAGGGGAAGCAATTCAGCTTTTGCACGTGCAGCAGTGCTCTCCTGAAATCTTGGAAACCCTGGGAGCTGTATGGTTGCTCCTTCCATTAGCTGTATGTTCAGGATGCCAACAGGGCCAGCAAAGAAGTAGGTGCGAGCCTAGAAGCTGCTGACCTTTGGAGGCAAGTGTAAATTGCATAGTACAGGGGGAAGACTGCTGCCCTCCTGGGTCTCAGTACAGCAGTGGAAAGTGCTAATTGTCTAGTCCAGAGAATACATCACACAAATGCCTTGTGGAATGTGTGCAAAGGAGGAAAGGCATGCAGGTTTAGGAGGCTAAGGAGCCAGCTGCTTTGCAGGAAAGGACTATGAAGCTCATGGCCTGAGTAGAGAAGAGGTCATGGGCTTGCAGGAGGAAGAAGTGTTGTTCAGAAAGTGATTACACCAGACCTTCTCTGTACCCTGTGCAAGAATGGCTTTACTTTCAGAAGGTGCCACAGGGAGGGACAGAAGGTGGATGTAGGAAAGCCTGGCTTGTGAAAGAGAATGGATTTGAAGGACAATGTCAGGAAGGAAGTAGATGAGTCTTGTGTTGGTGTAGAGGAATGTCAAGCATCAGTCTGCTTGACAGTCAAGAATGGGAGTCCCTGAGTTTAATGCTAGGGGTCTTTACAGGGAGTGAGGAGATAAAGGCAGCACGGGGTGGAACAGGGATGGAACATGGTTATGTTCAGCGCTTTGAATACAAAAATGCAATTTAACATTGACTGTCCTAAAAAATAAGGAAGAGCCACAGTAAGGAAGGAAGCATGCTTGTTCCTCCAGCTGCTTGTACACCAGGCCATGGGCAGACAGGCAAAGGCCTGGCATAACTCACAGCATGATTGTACAGCTGTCCCTATTATCATTGCCAAGGCACAGATACAACAGTGCTATTGTACTTTTCTGCAGCTCCAGAAAGACAGTGTCTGTGGGGAGTACAAACCCTTATTCGATATTCCTGGGCATATTTGACATCAGTGTCCATCTTTGGCCTTCTAACCCAGACTCAGAGGGCTGCCAAGGATGAGCAGGTACTCCCAGGAGATGGCTTTGTATGCTATGAGCATTTAACCTCTTGGTAGCTGGACCATGGACCACTACTGTAAAATGTGGATTGTGCATCTTTGAGATGCCTATAGAGAAGTTTCTTCAGAGTTGTTGTGTGCACTCATAACACTCTTAACAGATGAATTATGAACATCCCAGGAAGCCAAAAGGGATCTTGGGATGAAAGCCAAATGCTGAATTTAGTCCCCCAACAGCAGGAGGTAGGTGGTGGCAGATGCTGCCTAAACCTGAGCTAGCAGTGAAAGCTTCATATTGCTTTGACGTCAGGTTAAAGCCAGCAAGCGTCTCCAAAATGCAGAAGAAGCAATGACTTTACCATAATGCAAGTTTGCGTCTTGTGCAGCCTGTGATTTATAGTGCTGTGTGGCAGCATGGAGCAGGGATGGAGACAACTCTTTTGTGGGCTGGAGGGGATGCTGCGCAGCCATGTGACAGCTGCTGTACAGTATGGCTGGGAGCAAGCTCCACACTGGAAGATGCATATGGAGGTTTGGGGTCAGGGATCCACAGTTCTTTTAGTCACAGTTAAATCTCTACCTGCTGTGAAAAGGACACATGGGAAAATATGAAGACTATTTGTAGCCCTGCAAACATGTTGGCAAATAATTTCATGCAAAGTCACAGTCCAACTTAATCTGGGGAATTACGAAGTAGAGTGTTTGCAGGATCAGGGCCATAGTCTGTACAGTAGAATTGCTGAGGAAAAATGAAAGTCATCTCAGCCTTGCTCCTGGATTTCATTTGTGCTTGCTTAAGTAATTAGCTGGAGGTCCAGTGCTCCTCCTTTGTTAGTGATGAGAAGACTTACAGGTTCCCTACTGTTTTCTGTTAAGCTGCTAGGTGCCACAGCGATTGAGGACAAGTTACAAGATGGAGTCCCACAGACGATTGAGACTCTTGCTAAAGCCAGCATTAAGATATGGGTTCTGACCGGAGACAAACAAGGTAAAGAGGCTACAATTTTGGGTGTTTGTCTTCTCTCCCATTGGTGGGATGATTCTGCTAAGATCCATGGTCTGATTCTTTCTCCTTTTAAAAACTGCACAAAGGATAAGCTTACAGGGCTTTGCTTGGTTGCCATCTAGACAAAACTCCAATTAACTGGAATTGGATCAAATAACTGTAGCTAGTGGCTGTTCTTAATTCCTATCCTAAGGCTGGAGATAGTATGGATATTAGCATCCTTTGCCTTTGAAGTGATGACGGAGAGGATCCCATGGTCCCTGTCCTATGCAAAGAACAAATGCAGCCAGGAAGCAATATTCCTCATATTCTTTTCCACTATGAGAAAGAAGAGGTATCACTTTAGTAAAGTCAACTGTCCTGGTGAGGAAGGCTGGAAAAATCTAGTCCTGCTTTCCAGGAACTGGGGTATGGCCTAATGCTAGAGTTGATGTCAGGTCACTTTTAATTTGGTCCTGGGATTAATAATCTGGAATGAAAATGGGGGAAACACAGGCTTTTGAAGAAAGCATTAAGTTAGAAAGAATTTTGAATAGAATCCAGTGATTTCGCCACTGGATTGGGGGATAAATAGTGACTTTACTGAAACAATGGTATTTCAGGGAGAACAAAACTGTTGGCAAGTCATTTCATTCAAGAAATGAGCAGAGAATTTTTGAGACTGATCAAGTGTTTCAATTTGTTATGTTCAGAATGAAATAGTTTTGCGTATGAAATGCCAAAATATTGTTTTTCAGTATTTTCTGAACAAAAATTCTTGATATTCTTCTTCAGAATTATGGGATTTTTGGAGGGGGAGGGGTGGAAATTGACCTAAATTCCAACAAAGAAAGAAAAAGATTTTTAAAAAGTGAAATAACCTGAAAAAAATTTGAATCAGCTTGAAATGTTTTGGATGATCCAAGTGTGTGGACTGATGGATGTTTTAAGCTTTTTAGTTTTGATAGAATTCATTTTTTTTCTGTGGTCTTGCAAAGCCATTAGCGGAGATTTGCTGCTATGTTCATCAAGGAGACTCTCCTGGTTCAGTTAAACTGTTGGCTCTGAAAGGCTCAGGGCTCTCTTGGACGAGGAGGAGAGTTTTTGTCATGTATCTAAAAAGGCGGGAGAGATTGTGGGGTGAATTCAGGGCTGCTAAGATGGGTCATCTTCCTGGTTTATCTTTCCCAGAAACTGCAGTGAATATTGGTTACTCCTGCAACTTGCTGAATGATGACATGGCGGATGTTTTTATTATTGAAGGCAGCACATCTGACGACGTACTTAATGAACTCAGGTAAATGGCTGAAATATGCAGCTTCATTGCTGTGTGCTGACAGAGGAATGAAGCAGCTTTGTAGTAGTCCATCTTTTCTTTTCTGTATGCTTTGCCTGGTGCAGCTCACTGCAGGGACCTTGGCTAAAGGTTAGCTAATTCCCGGAATGATCCAGCAGCTAGTTGCGCATGGTATAGATATCTGCGAGGAGAAACGCCAAAGCTTCTTGATCCAACAGGTTAAATCTACATAGATGTATAAGGAAGCAGACTCAGGCAGGCAGAATGGGTTGACATTGGGCTGGTGATCGGGAGCCACAAAGCCTTTGGCTCTATGCCTGAGCTATGCAGTTGCTCCACTGCTGTGGTAGTTCATCCACACTGCGGTTCTTTCCCTGGATATGTTCCTCTTCTAGCACTACCTGGAAATTTCCCTTGCTTCCAGGGCCTGCTCAGGAGACATCACTTCTTAGGTTCAGGGAAAAATGGGGAAGTCAGACCCTTTTATTTTGAAGGAGATGGTTGCCAGAAAACATGAACAGAAATTTGGGATGGCTGTTGAGATAATGTTCTTCACGACACTCAGATGATTTGTTAGACTCTAAGTCAGCCCACATTTAGCACACATTTATTAGAGTTTTAAAAGCATGTGGGTGAATTGCATGAACGAGAGCAGCTAATCCATGCATGCTGTAGTGGGGATACAGGGAAAATTGAACTAAATTAGCAACAAGAAGCATAGTATTTTTATTTTCATAAAGTTGATTTAATAAAAAATATCTGTCTTTGTTTGCAAGCTATTAATTATTCTTCTGGATGTTTTTTTAGGAATGCAAGGGAAAAGATGAAGCCAGACTCCTTTCTGGATAGTGACGAAGTTAACATTCAGTTTGCAAAATCTTCCAAAAAAGCAAAAGTTCTACCTGACGAACAAGCAAATGGGGTGTACGGTCTTGTTATCAATGGCCATAGCCTGGTAAGGAAGGTTCAGTTATGTTAAGACTGAGTTCTCGTAAGACCTTAATGTGATAACGATATACTGGAAGTCTGAAAATGCTGAAAAAACTAGCCTTAGGGGTCTAGATTTTTTTTCCTAGTTGGAGGTTACGTCCCGAGCTCTTGATAATTCTTGTAAAATTGTCGGAAGGAACTTAGAACCATTAGTTGTTATCTGAGAAATCAAGGGTGCTGAACAAGGTTTCATAAGCCTGGAATGGGGAGAAATTGGCCCTGAAGTGAGGTGAAAAGGAGGAGGAGTAGGGTAGCTGGATTAATTTTGGTTTCCAGAAAGTTACTGAAGAAATAATCATGCAATCTATAGATGCACCAAGAAGATAAGGTAACATCAGACATGGATTTCAAGTATGTCAAGAACATACGTGCTTAAATATATCTGTTTTCCACTAATGGATAGGATAGATACCATGTAACTTGACTAATAAATCATTCGATCTCCCATTATGTTTTTCCAAGCAAACTGAAGTAATATGATCTAGATGAAGTTGCTATGTGGCAGATGCAGGACTGCTTGGAAACTATGACTCTTAGTGGCTCATTGTTGGTCTAAAACATATAAATAAGTGGCACGTGCAGGGGGCTATCCCACATCTATTCAATATTCAGTGTTTTAATTAACCGCTTAAAAAGAGAGAAAGCTTCTTAAATCTGCAGATTACACCAGCCTGGGAGGAACTGCAGACTTGAGGGAGTTCAAGATTAGATTTGAAAATAATTTTGACAAATTGAAGTGATACTTTGAAAAATAGAGAATGCAATTCAGTAAGAACAAATGCATTGTTCTTCACTTTCGTGTAATCATCAGCTGCACACACAAAGGATCAGAGAGGCTCATATATGAGAGCATCATCTGCAAGGTTTGTGAAGAAAACCTTCTGCTCCATTTGGCATTGGTAAAGTCTTAGCTGAAGTACTGCAACTAAGTTGGGCCCTTTTCTTTGAGAAATACTTAGACCACCTAGAGAGAGTACACAGAAAACTGCAAGAGTGATCATGCATGATTGAGAAAGCATGAGGGAAAACTGAGAGAGTTAGGGTGAGTAAAGAAAACTGATCTGTCTTGAGAGTAGTCTTCAGATAATAACAGGTAAAAGAACTAATGGGCTTAAACTGAGGCAAGAGAGTTTGAGGTTAGGTTAGATGTCTTTCTGGTGTGAATATTGAAGCACTGGAAAAGATTTTCTGTCCTTGAAAATTGTTTAGAACAGGTTAGAGACAGAACTGATTTAGATACAGTTCATCCAGCCTGGGAGAAGAGTTAGATTAGGTCAAGCTTATGTGTCTACTGTATTTTGCTTTCCCAGACTGCAGGATAAGCAAATAGGAAGAGATGCCGAGAGGCAGGAGGCACCGCCTTTCAGAGGCAAGATGCTTCTGTTTTCTGTAGCTGCTAGCTCTCTTGATAAGAATCAAGCAAATTTAGCTCCCAGACCTGCAAATTACTGTTCATAATCTCCTCATGCTCCACCTTTGGCTTCTGTACGATGGTTGCTGATCCATGAACTTAAAAGAAGACTTATCTGGCACTGTCTACATTCTTAAGTATGCTCTCTCCCTCTGCTAGTGCTGTAGAGTCAGGATATTGTGGGAAAAAACATCTCTAACTGTAGTGTCTGGCCAGTGTACTAAAACTAAACCATGAAAAGGTCTGTTTTTTTGAGCAAGCCTGCCTGTCACTGATGGCAGGGAAGCAGGGGTGTTGGTGACTCACAGCTCTCGCCTTTAAGAAGAAAGGGCATCTGACCTAAGGATTGGCTGCCTTATGTAGAAAGGGCAGCTGCCCTGCTGTTATGGCTTTGAGGAGGAGACAGTCATGTAGATTCCTTCCATGAGTGTCTGCTGAGAAGAGACACCAAAGCACCGACTCAAGGAGCACAATCAGTAAGAAATATGAAAAGCTAACACTGCTCCCTCCTTCCCATGTAGAGCTGGAGGGCTAACAAGACACCCAATTAACTGTACATTTCCAGAATAGAAATAACACGACTGACTGAATTAAAAGGTCAGCACTCAGAACAGAGTTGTGTTCTGTCTGGTTTTGTGTTTTGCTTTCTCATGCCCATCTGAGTACAGCTTTTTCCATTTTTTTTTAATTAAGTACTCCCAAGTTGAAATCTATGCCATTTATACCACAGATCTGTCAGAACTTAAAAGGTAAACCAAGAAGCATGAGCAGAAATTCACTCGCATGGAGATACGCGAGCTTGCTCAGGTCCAGAAACAGGTGTGTTAATGCACTGCTCCCATTGTTTGACGGTTCTGCTGCACTGTCAGGATACATTAGCCAGAGTAAGTGTTGTGCTGATAGGACAACATCGCAATAGTACAAGCATCTCAACAGTAAGTGTTGCGATGCTTCCAAGACCAAAGCTGGTAGATTTATTCTGCATGGCATTATATCGTGCCGCATGGATATTCCCTTGAACCGAATGGCCAGATTCCGTTGAGGTCACTTTTAGCGAAGCGACGACATATGTATTTTTGATGAGAGAAACACTTGCTGCAGCACTGGGAATATCAGCTCAGCCCTGGAGACCTTTCAGGCATCTCACACCTTCCTTATGCTGAATGAAAGAACTGGATTAGTTCTTTTTTATTTCCCACTATTTCTGCTTTGTAAGGCTGAGAATTGCTGCTAGCCTGACTCACCCTTGCCTTTTTTCTCAGGCCTATGCACTGGAAGAGAATCTGGAGCTGGAGCTGGTGAGAACAGCCTGCATGTGCAAAGTGGTGATCTGCTGCCGGGTGACTCCACTGCAGAAGGCCCAGGTGGTAGAGCTGGTGAAGAAGTACAAGAAGGCAGTGACTCTGGCAATTGGAGATGGGGCTAATGATGTCAGCATGATCAAAAGTGAGTAAAGGCATCCTGTCCTGGCTGATGGTCAGCATGCTCTAGCAAACTGGTGGGCTACTGTATCTGCTGTGCTGCCATTACTTGCTATGGCAGGTGGGTAGGAGCAGCTCTTTGCTGTGAGCATACTTCAGGCTATAGGACTTGGAAGCAGAAATGCTTATTTGAATGGCTTCTACATATTCTTCTTTGTGGAATCAAGGTGGCTGGGGCTAAGTTTCTGGAGATTTCTGCAGAGCACTGTCACTTCGGACCAGTCACGTCTCCTGCCTTCGAGGGTACACAAGACTGGTACTTTAGTGGCTGTGTTCCTGCCACCAGAGACACTAGAAGCTAAGACTGCACTTATTGTCTATTTCTTCATTTCTGTCCACTGATCTTTCAAGCGTGTTTTGTTTATAGCTTGGTTACTTGGGAGAGTATGTTAAAATCTGGCAATGCTGAGCCAGCGCAGCATACTAGACTTATGAGAATAGGAAGATCAACTGTTAACGCTCCTGCTCAGAGGGAGACTTCTCAACCCTTATGTCCTGTGCCAATACACAAGGATTCAATTTCTGTCAGCATCCCCGACTCTGTCAAATCGACCTTCATCCGCTGAGGTCGTTAGATTCAGATCCACTGGTTCCCTCCCTCCACTGCTCCCTGGGGTCAGGTAACCCTCACGTCTTGCCTCCAGAGTAGACAAAAGCCTGTAGGGGCTGTGACATGTACACCTATGTCTGTGTGACTATCATCACAGTGGCAGTGCTAAGAATAAACAAATTTATTTCAGAGAGGTGGCCTATCAGCAATGCAAAAGGAAAATTTTCATGCTTGTAAATAGTCTGTATAACGGTGTATAATTTTTTAATGTTTCCACGTGGTCTGGGGTCACTTGTCATTTATCTCCCTTGTCTTATGAAAAACAGGCCTCTAGGCCCCTTCGTTCTTGAGTATCATTCGGTGCTACATTACCTCAATGAACTTATGAAAAAAATCCCTTAACTAGGTATAATTAAATTAAGATTATTCAGAAGGGCCTATTGCTGATCTTCCTTGTGTTAATTTGCAAAAATTGATTAACTGGAGCCTTTTAATTAAGAAAGCAAAGGCTAAGTAGGGAGCTTCAAGGAGATAAGTCAGGCAGCCAGTCAAGAAAGGATAAGAAAAGCAAGTTAAAACGTACATGATAACTAGAAATGAACCCCGCCACTACGAGAGGGTTGGGACTTTGGGATTTTATCAACTCACTGTTCCATGGAAACCTCTCAGTCTAACCAAACTCCAGCCATCAAGATTGTTCTCATTAGTTAAAGCTGTATAATTAGCTGTCACATTAAACTTACATCCATGTTTAATAAAGCCAAGTTACTATTAAAGCAGACATGACTCTTCTATCTAATTATTTGATTGAAATAATAAGGCCCAGAAAATGTAAAATGGTGACAGTCTGCCTTGTACCACTTTGCTTTCGAAATCTGTAAGGAGTTTGTTGGTTTGGAGCTTTCACCTGTCTGGAGCGATGTTTTAAGGCTGCTAGAAGAACATGCATGCATATAAATACTAGTCACATCTCAATAGAAATTAAAGGTATTTCTTCATAACAGCAGTGATATTTTGTGCCGTTGATAAACATTAAGAAAGAAAACATGAACGGTCACTGAGGGTGTAATTCCATTCAAATAACATAAGCCCAGTTACTGTAAATGTATCACTGTAGCCAAAAAAATACTGCCACTGAAAAAAATAGTTTCTCCAAATCAGGTTTTTTTTTTCGTAAGTAATTTTACATTTGACTTTTTCTGCTCAGGCTGGGAGGGAATTAACGCAGTGTACCAGTGTGGCCGGGACATTTAAAAAATGGAGTTATCAAAGCTCTCACTGTAATGACATGACCAATCATTTTCTTGTTGCAGCTGCGCACATTGGGGTTGGTATCAGTGGCCAGGAGGGGATGCAGGCGGTCTTGTCCAGTGACTTCTCCTTTGCACAGTTCCGTTATCTCCAGCGCCTGCTCTTAGTCCATGGCCGGTGGTCCTATATCCGCATGTGCAAGTTCCTCAAATACTTCTTCTATAAGAATTTTGCCTTCACATTAGTGCATTTTTGGTATGGATTCTTCTCTGGCTTCTCAGCACAGGTAAGTCAGCTTCTGTTTTCTCACGATCAAGTCTAGCATTTTCAAGCAAAGTATCTGGAAACATTGTAAAAGTGTAAATAAAATAAGCCGTTCCCTCCACCTTACTGAAAGGTACACAGGCTTGTCTTTTCCAGCTGTGCCACTCTAATGCAAATATTGCTTCCTTCATTGGACAGATGGTAAAGGACAGATGCCTGAAGCTGTTTAGGTGCATTATGAAGCAGATAGCTACCTCATGGGATTTTTGAAAGTGACTGACTAGACTAACTAGACTGACTAGAGCTATCAAACAGGCGTACAGATTAGAGAGAGGCCTGACCACTTTGGTGCGGATCTGTATAGGGCCTATGACTGCCTTTGTAATACATTTAAAGCAGTTAGTTTAACTCCAGATTGCTTGTGTGTTTCAGCAGCTTGTAAGAGAAGCAAATCCCATGCAACAAAATATGCAGCTTTAGTTTAAGATAAACCTATCTCCACCCCATAGAGCACCACACAGTTAGTGTGAAAATATTAATCCTGGGGCCGAGTATGCAATGGTGCAGGAAACACCTGCCTGCTTGCAGCCTGCAGCAACCCGCAGCTCCCACCTGGTGGCTGCCACTGTGCCAGCTACTTAGCAGTGCCTGGGGCAGTGCCACAGGCAGCTGGGGGCCCTGGGCTGGCCGGGGACCAGGGGTGTCTGCCCTGTCACTGCTATCCTGGTGCTCAGAGCTTTCTCTCACACAGGAGCACTGCCACTGAGAGCTGGGTACCATTGGCCAGTGTGCTTGAGGTGACCAACAATGTGTCTTTTGTGCTAGGCTTAGATGGGACTCCAGTGGTGTTCTGGCATATTATTTTAGAGGTGAACGTTGCCTTCTGCAAATATAGGAATGAAACAGTTACAGGCAGACTGCACCAGGGCTGTCATTTCATTAGGACTCAAGAACAGTCATACTAGGCTAGGCCAAAGGGCTCTTTGGCCCAGTACCCTGTTCTGGCTGTGGCCAGTAGTGGATGCTTAGAAAACAGGACTAGCATAAAGAGATCCTTCCCCTGTGTATTCCCTCAGCTTCTGATAATGCACAGTAGTGGACTGCTGAGCTTGACATTATACTTTTGGTCTCAGGACTGTTCTGAACAAGATGTTCCAGCATTTCATTGTGTATACTTTTAGGAGAGATGGAAAAGGCAGCATTTTGCTAACTCCATGCTCTGTTTTTCTCTTTAGACTGTATATGATGAGTGGTTCATTACGCTTTACAATTTGGTATATACCTCCCTCCCGGTGCTAGGAATGAGCCTCTTTGATCAGGTATCGTTTCTATCACTACTTGGATTTTTTTATAGGGGTGCTTTGAACTGGTTCTATGAAGCAAAGCAACTGACTCTGGCTAGCTATTGTGGTAGCCCCTGAAGTAGTTTCTTGCCAGTGACCACTAGGAGCACAAAAAAAGGACACACAAAGGAGGAGATTGTATATTGTCTTGAACTGGACAGTGAGTTTCAGTGTGTGGCGGGACTTTTGGGTTAGCCTGTTGACTACAGTAAAAGCCGCCATTGCAACGCTCCCCTGACCTAGTCGTGTCCTGTTAGTTCTGTTCCCTGAAGCCTGACTAGTACCTTTTTAATGACCACACAGAACAGTGAATGAACTAGAGCTCTGAAGATCTCCTGAGCTAGGCTTTCTTTGTTCAGCCTTTTTAATGGTGTCCTTCCTGCAGTAATTTCACATGTGCATTTCTACCTTATATGCTTTTATTGTTCAGCAATACATAGAAGCATAGAAATACATGTTGCTCCTACATGTCTTTTACAAATGTGTAGGAACTTGCTACTCACACAGTGATTCATAGTGTTCAGCTCTTTTAAGGAATCTAACTCAGAGGGCCTTTCCTATGTGTGGACCTCTGTACTTACTAACCATTAGCTTCCAGGAACCTTTTAGGAGAACAGGTTGTACAGCCTGCTTAAGAAGAAATGTGCCTTCATTTTTTGCAGTGCTTGTCAGTTTTTTCAGCACAAGGTGAAATTCAATATGGAAAATGTGCCTAGGTGACCTTGGGATGTGGCATGCTAGTCAGCACAACTGAGTGAATTGTGTGCAAAGCCTTTTCTTGTGGAAATGTGCCTTCTCAGGGGCATGGCAACATTAAGTGGTCTTATGAGGTCAGTTGGGTAGGTGCCAGCAAACGGCTCTAATCATCTCCTCTCTACTTTCAGGATGTGGATGATCGCTGGAGTATGCTGTTTCCTCAGCTCTATGTGCCTGGCCAGCAAAACCTCTATTTTAATAAAATAGTGTTTGTCAACTGCATGTTGCATGGGATCTACAGTTCCCTCATTCTCTTCTTCATCCCCTATGGGGCCATGTACAACACAATGAGAAGCGATGGGAAAGCCATTGCTGACTACCAGTCCTTCGCGCTGATGGCCCAGACCTGCCTACTGATAGTGGTGTCTGTACAGGTAAAGCAACCCTGGTAACGTTTTTAGGAATTCATTATTGTTTTAAGAAGGCAGCATCTGGAGGGGCCACTTGAGATCCTGTTAGCATTCTGTTTGCTGGTGCATCTTGCACTCTTTCCAAAAACATCTCTTCACACCGGATTATTCTCTGCAGTTCAACAGACCAATGGATTTGGGTGTCATGAAGGATCAGGGCCACAGGAAGACAGAACCTCTGCCTTGGGAAATTTACAGTCATAGTAAACAAAACAGCTGTTTTGTTTAAGGCTGGGAGAAGAGAAGGACTCATTCCACTTTTTCAGGATGGGTTTAAAGAACAGGATTGTCTCTCTGCTAGCAGGCAGTTATTTATAAGGTCTCAATTGCGGTGCTGCCTCTGCAGCCTGGTTCGATGCATGATGCAGATGCTAGAGCTGCACTTGATGGAAGAAGTGACTGAGATTAGGATAGTAAAAAATTCAGATGATATTGGCAGGATGAGAGAAACTTCTCAAAAGAAAATGTCATCTATCTCACCTCTCTAGATAATGGTTTATGCTGTGTGAGGTGTTATAGGTGCCTTCTAATTTTTGATAGCTAGATCACAGCATGGGGTAAGGACATAAGTAATGGCCCCTTAGAACCTAGTATCCTCTCTCAAGCGCGGGCCACCAGTGAATGCTCAGGAAGAGGGCGAGAACAGGGCAAATGAGTAATGCTTGTCCCGAATGTTCTTCCAGCATCCTATGATCTGTGGCTTGGGTATTTCTTGAGCCTTGAATCGTGTCTGTGTATCTGATAGTACATACTGTTTTTAATATGGGTTCGTAGGAGAGGCCAAGAGCTTCTCTCTTGGTTATTACACATAGATTTTGGAGCAGGAGGGTACAGATGGCATAACAAATAACTGTCTCAGGGGGGTGGGAGTGATGTGAAGAGTGGTGGACAAGATCTCGAGCTGCGTTCAGCATAGATACACTAAATAATTAAGGCGCTGACAGCAGCTGTATTGCTCCATTCTTTCAGATTGGCTTGGACACGGCTTACTGGACAGTTGTGAACCAGTTCTTCATCTGGGGCAGCCTTTCTGTTTACTTTGCTATCACCTTCACCATGTATAGTGATGGCATGTACCTGATCTTCACAGCCGCATTCCCATTCATTGGTAAGCCCTCTGACAATTCTGAACTGCACTCAAAGTGGGCAAACTGCTGGGCTTAACTCTGTCAAGTATTTCTACTATGTGCATAGGAAGAGCTCTCAAAAAGGCAATAACAAGCTGCAGAACATATCGATTGCCATTTCCACAAGAAATTCCATGGTATTTCTGCAGGCTGCTGGGAATGCTTATTCTGAATCCCATCCATCCATGTGGACATGTGTCCCATGTTCACTTCCTTGCAAAAGAGTGCACATTCACACAGCGACAGGAATAATCCTTTAAATAAGTCCACAGAAGTGGATGGAAAACTTTCTGCTAGCTCTTTTCTATTCTGTTTCCAGAGCCTTACAAATATTTAGGAGCATTTTGTTTGCAGAAGCGTGTGTGTTGTCCTCAAAATAAGTTAATGTGTTGGTGTGGGAGGGCATAGAAATCCAGCAACCTTACTCTACATAAAATCTTTCTGAACACATGCAAAAAGTGAAGAATAATATAAAAATTAATCTCGCTCCTGAGACTGTGAGCAGGAGGGAGACATAAGCTCAGCAAAATAATTTAGCCATTTTAAATAGCTCTGTCCATCTATATCAGTACTGACAGAGTTTTGCTGTGAAACTCTACTTCTAAAATGCTGAAGCACGTTGCTTCAAATCTCAAGTTGGTGTAGTAATCAACGCCTTGGATTTGTTAAGCCAAGGCCTTTTCTGCCCATCTGCAGTACCAAGGTGCTTGGCCATTTTAGAAATGTCTGAGATGTAGGTCAGCTGTAAGGTATTTTTCAGGTAGATGGCCAGATCCACTGTAGAGATGGCTTTTAGTATCAAAAGTTCTGAGTGAGAGAAAGTAGAGTGTCTGTTCAGTTTCCAAAGACAGCTGGTAATCCGCTTACCAGGGACATCTGTATCTGCTGTTCTGTTGATACTACCTAGGCCAAAATACATGTAATGTTGAGTACCACTTAATAATGGTCTCACTGTGAGACCATTTTTTATGAAAGCGCTTCAAGTCTGGACTCAGTTAACCTGACTATTTTAATTTCAGCAGAGTTGTAATACGGCAGAGTTTGGCTAACTGAAAAGAAGGCATTCAGCAACTTTACTGCCAACATCATTAAACACAGTAATGAGGATTTTGCAGGCTATTTGTTCTAACCTACATTCCTTAAGTTTTTGGAAGAGCCAACAGTGAGCACTTTAGTTTTAAAGAATGTGTCAGTGTCATGTCACCACATGGCAGCTGCTCTGCCAATATACCTGGTAGGCTGCTCTGTCTGTGCAGACTCCCAGAGCAATGCACACGCCTCTCTCATAAAAGACTGTGATCCTGCCATCTACTGGGCACCCAGAGGCAGTACCCCCTATGCTTCAGGAAACAGTGCTGGCAAATAAGGAAATACTATTCTTTCTTTTTGACTGGAGTCCTGGATTGCCGCTGAAGAAGAGCTCTCAAATATTTATCCATCAACCTGTTGCAGTGATTTGACTCTTTGTAAAGGGATAAGGCATTCACTCTGACATCTTTGTCTCCCTGAATAGTTGCTGCAATTCAGCCTGAACGCTGCTTTCTTCTTTGCTTGTCTAAGAAAGTTATGACGGTGTTACTGTCCTCTCTGCAGCAAGTTGATTTCACAGTTGGAATATATTAATATTTATATTTATATTTATATTTACATTTACATTTACATTTACATTTACATTTACATTTACATTTACATTTACATTTATATTTATATTCTGGTCTGTTTGCCAAGTGCTTTGGAAGGTGAATAAGGGTGAGAGGTGTTGCTGTCACGGTTTTAATCATGCTCTTGTTTTTCAGGTACGGCTCCAAACACCCTCAGTCAACCAAATGTGTGGCTAGCAATCTTCCTCAGCATTGCCCTCTGTGTGCTGCCTGTAGTTGGCTATCGATTCCTGAAGACTCAGTTAAAGCCAACTGCCAGTGATAAAGTAAGGAAATACGCTCATAAACCAGAAACCCTGCTCACTGCCACCTAAGCCTACTGAGAGCTGTATCACAGGGGCCTGGCCTTAGTGTATGTTCCTGGAAGTGCAAGTGCTGCCATCCTTCTGTCTCCTAGTCCCTTAAAAAGGAGGACTGAGCATGTGTTTTGGCGCAGTTCAAGCCATCTGCAGCTGGGAGCAACGCTGAGATTATTTAGACATGGATTAGATCACACTGGAGTGAGGAAGCAGCACTATTTTTAGGTGCAGGGTTTCAGGGTGTGGCTCAGTGGCAAAGCAGTGGCATATTTCACAGTCAGCAGTGACACCTTTCTGCCGTACAGTTTTTAGCCTGGCAGACTGCACCTCTTCACCCTCCTGCTATGCGTACATGGTTGTTGGGGATTTTTTGGCTTGAGAATTTACTTCCTTTATAGCCAATGGTTATATTCCCCCTTTGAAACCAGCTGCCCTCCCATGCCCACAAATATGGAGATGAGGCCAAGGAGAGGCTGGGAGAGATGGAAGGGGCAGAGAGTGCCCAGCTCACTAGAGCCAAGCCGCTCCTGAACAAGATCAGTGTAAATGCAGCTCCCTGCACTGCCTTTCAAACAGATATCTGCTAAATGTTGCTGCCACCTGGTGCTTCCTTCCTCTTCCTACACTAAGCTGTGAAACAACAGCATCTCTGAGCAAAGTCTGGAGGGGTGGCACTTGGTCCTCAGTGGCTGTCTTGATCAACCTTGGGATGTCTGTAAAGGTCCTCAGGTGCTCCAGGGCTGTTTGAGGAGGAGTGAAGAGGAATTCTCAGCCCTGGCAGAGGGGGTAGATGGGTGCTAGAGAAGATTGCTAGGTTGGAAGGTCCTCAGCACATGGTTAGAGGAAGAAGTTCAGATTGTTCAAAATATGCAGAAGTGGGCTGAATTTACTCTTCAGCTTAGTAGAACTCTTTGACACAGATGTGACCTGGAATCACGGTCTTAAGGCTTTGAGTTAGCCTCTCTCTCTAATGCCAAATCGCTTCACTTTTCTACTTCCTTCAGAATTTGTCTGGGAAGCGAATTATCACAGGAGAGGAACATTTAGGTTTTCTGCTAGAGAAATCCCTAGTCTGAAAAGAACTAAACACAGGCCTGATGATCAGAGAGCCCAAGTACCTACAGCTGCCATTGTCCCAAGCAGGCAGGGCAGAGGTTCGACATCTCTGCCTCCCCCTGTGGAGGGACCCACACTCCCCCTTTTCCCAAGGAATATAAGAATCTATCGATCACCATTCTCATCATAAAAAGCCTTTATATATTGAAAATCCCCTTTAGTAGCCTGTTTTCTAGATTAAGTAAGCCAATTTTTCAATCTTTGCTTTCTGGACTTCTTTGACTTTGACATGTTCGTTTTTTTGATTGAAGTGCCTGAAAGAGCTTCAGCAATACCCTATCTGAGGGCTCACAGTGCTGTGAGGAGTAACAAATGGAAATCATTCTCTCCCATATCTTACAGATGACATTCCCAATAACGCCTTCTGGAGTAAGATTTGTTTTTCCTTTTGCTGAAGTGCTCCCATGGTGCTTCAAGTTCAGTTCCTGCTCTGCAGCCCTTCCTGCCGTCCTCGTGTTTTGTCAGTCATTGTTGGCTTTGGACCCATGCTTTTGTTTCCTCTTCTGAGCTCCTCTTTTGCTGCACTCATGGATAATGATGTATTTCCCACTTGTTCAGTCTTATTTTCTAATTTCAGGTCCTACGCAAGATCAAAGAAGCCAAAAAGAGGCCACCTCCACCCTCACCCAAGAGGCGTCTGCGTCGGACCAGTACCCGCCGCTCCGGCTATGCCTTCTCCCATCAACACGGTTTCGGAGCGCTCATTATGTCTGGGAGAAACATGCGGCCAAAATCACCTTTTGCTACAACAGGAACGTTCTCACCCAATAGTGAAAAAAACAAACACAAGGGACTTTAAAAAAAAAGAGAAAACTTAAAGGGCTGTCAGGAAAGGAAGCTGTGCTCCTTGCAAAGCACTGAGCCAGTGGCTGCTCAGAGGTCTGTCCTGTGAGCTACCAAAACAAGGACTTGGACCTTTCTTTTTACCCACAGGCAGTCTCCGACTGCAGCTTCTGTTCCAAAGAGATATGCTGCTCCTAGGGAAGTAAGGGAAGAGTAGGGAGAGCAGATGAATTAAAGCTGTTGTTTTGTATTCCAGAGGGCCTCCCTGGAACAAGAGAGAGAACATGCTGTGGGAGGCTCCTTCACTTACTGAGATTGTTTATGATGCCATTTTTTTCTCCCTTTAACTACATACCTCAGAACAAAGTGAAGTCCAAGCTGAGGAAGAGACAGAATTGGTGATGCCTTTTTCATTCACATGCCTGCCTTTGTTTCTGTCATGAATCTGTTCTGGGCCATGTTCCTGGGCTGACAGTATTGACCCCAGGTGTGCCTTAGCTCCAGCTATACAACCCCCAAGTCCCCAATCTTTGTAATATGTGTAATTTTGTAGCTTTTTGACTATAATGTACACCACCACTTCAGAAAGCATGAGTTGCAAATAACCTCCTTCCAGACTAATGGTTTCTCAGAAGATGGCCAGTGCCACAAGCAAAACTCTCTTCCTGCATTTGCAGCGTGGAGGTGCTGCAAGCTCAGAAAAATGTCTAGTTGGTCAAGAGACAAGGACTTGACATTCATCAGACAGCCCTGTATCTGCAACCCAAATCTGCTCTGTGGTAAATGATCGTTGTTCTCAGAGCCGTCTCAGGTGTTGTAGCTGGGCATCAGCCATTTCTTTTAGACTTAAAATAGAAGGGCAAAAGAATTTCAGGCTCCCGTATAGATCAGGCCATAAAATCTAGCACTGAGGAGGCCAATACCTCAGCTAGGACTCAGCTGGGAGTCTCCAACACCGGGTGGCTTTTCTCACCCTAACAGACTGAGAAAAATTCTGTCTTCCGAGACACATGCACATCTGACTTGATGGAAATTATACAAGAAATAGCAGAGGGACAGATGCTATTTCACTGCTAGTGCAGGGTGTCCTGCCCTTTACTGTGCTGGTGCTGTTTGTCAGTGCAACAGATGAAGCGTGATCTGGTTGCTCTTTCACCCTCCCCTGATGGTCAAGTTTCAGAGGAACTTAGTGAGGGCTCAGGGGCCTCTGCAGAGTTTCGCTGTGGTGGCTGGTATTTTATTCAGAAAGGTTCATATGTCAGTCATCACTTCCAGAGAGCAGAAGGCTCCACCAAATCCTATCAGTCTGAGTGCCAGCAGAGGGACCGAAAATGCACAAACACAGCCAAAGACATGATGATATTGAGAAACTGGGACTTGCTCGCTGGTTTGTTACACAGTGCTATAAAACTAGCATCAGTAGATTATTAGGTGGAAAGCCAGAATGAGAATCTGTCCTGCCAGTGCGGCTGAGCTGTCGAAATGGAGCCTTTTTTGTGAAGCCTTTGCTGTTATATTTTCTCGGCTTCTTTACGGAAGTTTAGACTTTCCTTCTTTTGAATCAGGATTTTTGCACACTAATCATCTGATATTTATTGAGTTCTCTGCCTTGAGCCTCTGAGCTATCGGTAGAGGCAATGTGTCTTGGCAACAGGCCAGCCGTGTCCCTACTTCATCTGGTCTGCGTATAACACCTTACTGCCTGAGGTCCTAGTTTCAGCAGTTACTTTATTTATATATATATATATATATTTTAAGCTGTAATAAAAGGTTTCATCTGCCTGGATTTAACTCAGCACAAAAAAAGCGGTCTGTTGCACCTGCTGCTTTGAGAGGCTTGTTGCAAACTCTAGTATTAAATTTCAGTATAGCCAGTGCAAATTAGACCTGGGCCTGGATCCAGATTTCAGCAGCCTGGAGCTGCTTGTTAGAGAAGGAGCAATTTCTAATCCAGTGATCTTCCCTGCAAGGAGATGTCTAAATAAAGGGAGCACCTGTACCCTGACTGAGAAAACTCTGCTGTGATAGTTACTACTCTTCACCTCCCTCTGATTTGCCAGTCACTTTGCAGAGACAATCATGGCTTTCTGGTTAGGATAATGCCTTTCACAATCAGCCTCCCTGGGGCTAGAGGAAAAAACAGGATTTATGCAGGTGAGCAGCTATCCCCACAATAGCCAGGTTGGCCTGTGGACTGACAGGCCTGTCAAAGCTGTTGCAAGTATGTAAAGCAGTGGACTATAATGCTGAGCAGTAGAGGCCGACCTTTTCCTAACAGAGCAAGGAAACTCTGAGACTGTGTCACTCTTCTCACATGGTTTACATGCAAGGCACTCCGCTTGCCTTGTGGCTGAAGGGGACTTGCAAATGCTGCATAGGACGTGTTGGTGAACTTGCTCCAGCTACGACTATTTCAATAGCTTGACAAGATCAACCTTTGAAACATATCAACTGGCAGTGATGTTCAAACTACATCACTCCTGATTTTTTTGTAAAATTATTTTTTAAAATAAAAAGAGATCATTAGGATGACTGATTCGTTGCCAGTCTGCTAATGATTAAAGGAGTTTATAACCAGATGTGTATGTTATTCCTAGATCTCCTGAAGTAAAAGGATAGGCTGTGGGAGGATGGATCTGGAATAATGGTCCTTTTAATTTAGTATCCTGATTTGGAAAACAATCAAGAAAGTAAGGAAGCTCCAGTGAACAACTCTGAAGAGTGAGCCCCTTGGAACAGCCCTGTGAATTAGTAGCTGGTTATCATGCCGTGAAGGTGGAATTCCCTACAATGAACTTCCTTTGTATCTTGTAAGTGAGATCTAGGTGTTCTTATCAGCCAAATTATCCTGCACACTTTTTTTGAGCTTCTGGTTTCAGTGGTCAGATGTAACAGCAAATTCAAAGTTTGCGTGTGCTTTGCAATAATGTTTTCTCAAAGCTGTTTTACAAACAAGACGTTTGTAAAAAATGGCTTGTGGGAGGGTAAGAGGAGTGAAAAGGCAAGACCTGATTTCTAGTGATGCTAACAGGTCACAGAGGCTCTTCCATCGTTTATTCACCTCCCTGAGCTCAACACCCCCCACCTCCCTTCTGCACAATGAGGCAACGGTAGCACCCTGCTTTGCATGAACGCAGAAACCAGAGTCCCTCAATAGCCATACTGTGATGAAGGAACCTCTCGACTGCAGTAACATAGTGAAGTAGCAGCAGGCCAAGGACGCTCTTGCCTCTTTTTCCCCATTTTGAATGCAGTGGGTGAAACTGGCAGCGATGTCAGGAGGCAGGGCTGCTGCCCAGCATGCAGCGAGTTTGGGACAGGTGATGCAAGTAGCCTGTGTGTCACTGGGCCACTGAGCAGGCTGGCGGGAGTGTCAGTGCTGGCAGGTGGTAGAGGAGGTGGTTGTTGCTATGGTGGTAGTTAGAGGCACCATCAAAAGTGGGAGTGGCAGTAGAGGAGGTTGTTAGTGCAGATAATGGCTTGAGGAGCTGTTGCTGCCATGGGAGACATTTGGGGATGGTGGTTGTGGATGGTGGTGGTGGATAGGAGTGTGATGAGTGTTGTGAGTGGCTGCTGGGGTGGCTGTTCCCAGAGGCTATGGATGAGAGAGGCAGTTTGTATGTGACTGCCGGGGCAGCCGTTGGCTGA